TTGATGCACCCCCCTCCCCGCCGCTCGCAAAGGAAGGTACCAACAACATCCGACAACATAGCAGCAAGCCATGGACAATTCGGGCACAAGCTGCGTACTCGTCAACCAGCTGCCGCAGCGCTGCAGCATCAACACAGCTTCGCACTACAGCGAAACCATCCTTTTTTAGATGCGCTGCTGCATCTTCGATGACTGGCTCGTTGGCCTCCATCTTTGCAATCCTGACATGGTGATTTTTATCACCCGGTGGGAGATTGAGCCAAGAGTAGCTGCAGTGATCGGCAGGTACTGCATGATAATTGATGATACATTTTGCAGGACTGGCGACAAACGCTGGCGCGACTGCTTCGTATCGTTTTTGCATAGTCACTTTGCCACTCCACTAGACAATGAGCTCCTTGCAATCGTGTGTTAACGCACGCAGTTGCATCTGCCCTTTCGGCTCAAATCAGACATCGCACGTCCGGGTGGGCTTTTTTGAGCGCAGCTCCATCCTGCAATCACATGAACGCTGCGGCCAGCTTGCAAACGTGCGCTGGACTCAAGACAGAATGCATGCCGACGTCCACGTCCTGGTAGAAGCATCCTTTGAAATACACAGGAGGTGGAAGGTTTCCAGATCGAAAGCGTTCGTCTAACTGGTCGATAATTGAAGCAGACACATTGGGATCAACTGCATGATGGGCAGTGTAGAAAACAAGCCTTGGCCGCAAGACGCACAACTTGACACAACTATGGTAACTATGCTGTGCAGATGTAGGCTGAAGCATGCTGAGGCCGAGGCGCAGCACCTGCTGGGTGAAAGACCTCATCCGAGTTGATGGGCGGCCTGCAACACGGCCAGCATAGGCACTGGCCCATGGGAACTGATGGCACTGCTTTTCTGGCATGCCTTAACTAATCACCTCTAAGCCTATCATCGCTTGCCTACCTCACGCGAAGGACATCGAAGAACTGGGGATGCGACGCTTGATTGCAGAGGTGAGCAGCTCTTGGCTGTCTTGGCTGCAGGAGCGTCTTGAAATCTGAGGGGTCCATGACGTCCTGTGCAAGTTGCGTCTATGGACAGTGCCGTGAGGAATCTTGCATCGAAGATTGGATGCACATCCCTTTGCATTGAACAGTAGGTGCTCAAAGCATCTCAAAGCAGAAGGTCAAAGCGTAAACGCACTTTGTGCCGAAATTAAAGTAGCGTAGCCACTCTTGAGCAGAAACTAACTTACCAAAGAGTCTGGCAGAACCATCGGCCGTCTTACTCATGCGCTGCGCGATGTGCTACAGCGTACCGCTTGCTGGATGATGAGATCTCATGAGTCATTCATTGCACTGAGTCCCCTGCGTACTTGCACCACCTTAAGTCTCACTAGAGATCATGGCAGGTCTGATGTGGCCCCATGGCGACAGCATACGAAAACCGTTCCGAAAGCCGCATTCATCGCTCGGTGCTTGGGGCTATGAAAGTGACTTGGCTCACCCATTCTGAAAGTACTGTCGAGTCACTGCTTGTGACCCTTCTCTTCCCAGGTGCCGATGTTCAGCAAATCCTGAAAGCAACCAGGTCCAGACTGAAAGCATGCCACATGAAACTCCTCTTCCACCAGGCTAATGCAACCTTCCCCTCTTGCTCCAGTACTTCCGCATGAAGTTGCTTGGCAAAGCTCCTCATCCACGTCGATATTTGTCACACGAAGGGCAGTCTTCGGGCCCGAAACAGCCGGCAATGTCTCGTCCTTCCAGGCTGAGGCAATTCTGGCATCTGACATCAAAGCAAGTCTGTTCCGCATCCCAGCTCCCGAAGGTGACGGCGGATCCAAGTTCCCAAAAAGGGGAGTGCCCAGAACGTCCATGTCGGATGTGCGTGGCCCCATCGCGTAGACACATGGCACTTGCCCTTCTGGCAATATCTGTCGAACACCTTTAGGCGGCAAGGAGCAGCATCTTGTTTCACTGCAGCATCTTGTCCAAAGCACGAACTCGACCTCTTGGATTCTACACTTTCATTGCTGCAGGGCCCGCCAACTGTTGCAACACAGCCTGTGATCTTCGTGGCTTGACTCTTGCCATTGAAATCGGTTCATGTCAAGACTGCTGGCCACAAAGCGACGGCCCCAGCAATAGAACACTTTCGTGCCTTCAGGTTGAATTTTGTTTTGCGCGAAATCCTTCGAAAGAAACAAATGAGCATGGGATTCACTGCCCGTTTTTTGTTTGTTGTACCTCAATTTCGGCAAGCCTTCCATCCTGCGCACTCTTTTGGTTTGTTAGGCAGGAAAGCAGATGAGACCGGATTGGCTTGGGTTGCGCGACCGACTTCGGTCAGGAGGCGACACTACCTGCCACCAAGACAGGTTAACTGAAGTAGCAAGGACCGCGGATTGTGGGAGACCTCATCATCTTTGCACCTTTTCGTCGGCACGTGCGCCAATTATCCGTGTGACTCTGGACACTCCACCTGCTGGTAAATCACACAATCTGTCTTCAAATTAAAGTCCATCAGGCCACAGCCCTCTGACGAACACTGATACTACGTTAATGTTTTTGCACGCTCTAGCCTGAACTAGGTGCAGCTCTGGCACGTGACTGGTGCCTCCGCTCATTGTCACACCTCCACGCGGCCCTGGATACATCGGAAGCTCCCTTAGACAGCCACTCGCTCACTAGACGCCTACAAGTAAGACTGAAACCCCCTTGGCATTACACTGGAAAAAGAAAGGCGTGATCCAGCTATCGGACGAAAGCTTCAAGATGCTTCAAAAATCTTCCAAGACATGTTCCAATTGTCTACAATTAACTTTACCATCGTCTCCGACAAAGTTTGCAACTCTCTGCATCAGCGTGGCTCGTTCTTCAAGAAATGGACGGGGAGAATCGGCAGTGGATACAGCTCGGAGCTTTCCTGCCTGGCACGTGCGAAGAGGTCATCCTGACAGCCGTTCAGGAGATGTCAGGAGTTTGTGAGCTTGTGGGTGTCGAAGATGCTGTGTATTGTTGTGTGCTGCGAGCTTGCAAAGAAAAAGGTCGACAAATGCCAGTCTGAGGGCTACCCGCGGGGCAACGAACTGGTCAGAGTCCAGCTGAATGCCAGTTTTCACTCGTGCGATGAGCAGTGACCGGAATTTATTGAGGTCGAACCGACGGAACACAGCCGTTGGGAACGGTGCAGCATGTATGACCTCAGACCAAGCGCAACTTCACGTTTACTTGTTGAGCTGATGTCCAGTGGTCTCTGTGGGCAACTGAGATGTGCGCGACCAAGCGGGGGTATTTTATTGGATCCCACTCGCGCGGCGTTGCCATTCCGAAATGAACAACCACAATTGGTCTTGTAGAAAACACATGCACGGAACGTATCAGCTGTTCATTGATCATGGCCCACTTCGTCTGGCTTGGGGAACTCCCAATGAAGTTCACAAACGCCTCGTCCAACCATCCTTCTGTGTAGAGCCTCAAATAGTTGTCCCTGAACCCGTCACTGATCCACCCATCCACCATGGACTTCAGCGTTTCGTTCTCCAAGGCAAGTGCCCCCGGCTTTGGCAAATGGAAGGCGCTTCCTAAGCCCGGGTCTGAACACAGGCCCTGCACGGCTTTCCACTGCTCTCGATCCCATGGTTGATTTTGACTGGCTTCAAAAATCTCACAAGATACCACTTTGTCCACTTTGGGAAATGTGGAGACCTTCTTCACTGCTGGCGACACTCGTGAGAAGAAAGCTGATGTTGGATCAAGCTCGCATTCACAATGCTTCCCTGCATCTCCTGGAGTGGACGCTTCAGCACATGCAGCACTCTGACGGTCTGACCCCCAGAACTACGTAGGGGCAGCGACGCGAGACTCAACCCACAAGTGATCACAAGTGCAAAACAGTGTTTCAATCAGCCCTTGTCTCCTGGAGACGGGTCGCCAAGGTCCGTGGTGCACTTAACAAGCTGAGCTGCGTGCTGCTGTGGCAAGATCTTCCATCGCTTGTCGTTCCCCCAACGTACGCGGCCAGGGCATTCACACAACATGAACTGGCTCGCACAGAAGACCCACTCAAGACCTTCCTGCGGTCTCACTCTCGGCACTTCACATTCGCATATCTTTGAGTCATCACCCGGAGCGGGATCGCCCAACGCAATGAAGTCGCACTGCCACGGAGCTTCTTGGGGCTGGAACACTTGGAACTTATCGCGAGTGCCCCAGCGCATGCGTCCAGTGCATTCGCATTTCTGAAACTGTTCAGCGCAGAACTCCCAAATTAATTGAGGCGGGCTCTGAACTGGCTTGCTCTGCCAGCTACCTCGACACATGGAAGTCACAAGAGTCATAGGAGTCTCTGGACACCCCGCTGGAAAGGGTGTCAACTTTCAACACAGCCAAACAGCTAAGGTGCTGATTGTCTTCCATGCTAAACTGCTGGAAGATGTGGCAGTGGTTGTGGGAGTGGTTGATTCAACCGCGCTTGACCTGGACATGAGACGAACACTTCCTGCGTCTGGCTGTTTGGCTTCCTTCTCGCAGCTTGCCATAGCTTGCAACAGCGTGCACTACGTTCTGCATTATGCAGCTTGGCCTGACATGTAGACTGTCTGTGAAGTGGCCCTTCGCGTGCTCCACGGGCTTCGCCTGAGCCTGACGAAACAAATCTGCATCGGGCTCAGAGCTGCCCGAATTTGCTACCACCAACACGTTGCCATCTGATTCGGAAAACAATCGGATCACTATCGAGCTGCGACAGCTTCTCGGCGGCTATGTACTGGCTCTGTCAAAAGCCACTGGGCCTTGGAAAGTCCAGGTTACCAAGCAGTGGTAGTGCCGAGCATAATTCACATGGGCAGTTATCGAGAATAGAGAACACCCCTCCCCCCCCCCTCCTCCCCCCCAAACCAAAAAAACCCAACAACGATTCAGCCAAGCCTCCTGCCACAACGCAAAGCCAGCTGTTACGCTCAAACTGATTGTTGCAGACCAGCGACAGCAACACACCTCTCAACACAACTTACTGCTCAGGCCAGTCAGGCGTGGTGCGAAGGTTAACTTGCATTCGGCTGGCCGGGCATGTCAGGGTAAGAGAGCTTACAGCCTTTAAGGCAGCATTTGCAGATCAGTTGCAATTAAAAATCTGAGCCGAGGAACCCTCTCTTGAAATTTCCATGGGTCGCATGAAAAATGTTGTCGCTGGTGCAAACCCATTGAACCCTTGGGACAGTCATTGCACCAAGTACGTGAAACACCCAAGGACACAGGATTCATCAAGGATGCTCTTCGGTATCGTGAGTGTGGAAATGCCACAAATCAGTGCAAGATGCACGGGTCAGTTGCCATGGACAGTACAAGCGCCGAACTTTGCTGTGAGCGAGGACTAAGTCCAAAATGGGACTCTCTCTCTCTCTCCCTCTCTCCCTCTCTCTCCCTCCCTCTCCCTCTCTCCCTCTCTCTCCCTCTCTCTCCCTCCCTCTCCCTCTCTCTCCCTCTCTCTCCCTCTCTCTCCCTCCCCCTCCTCCTCCCTCTCCTCCCCTCTCTCTCCCTCTCTCCTCCTCTCTCTCTCCCCTCTCTCTCTCCTCTCTCCTCCTCTCCACCCTCCTCTCCCTCTCTCTCTCTCTCTCCCTCTCTCCTCCTCTCTCCTCCCCTCTCTCCCTCTCTCTCTCCTCTCTCTCTCCCTCTCCTCCCTCTCCTCCCTCTCCTCCTCTCTTCTCTCTTCTCCTCTCTCTCCCTCTCTCTCCCCTCTCCTCCTCGTCCCCTCTCCTCATCCTCTCCCGCTCCCTCTCCCTCTCTCTCCCTCTCTCCCCTCTCTCCTCCTCCCCTCTCCTCCCCCCTCTCTCTCTCCTCTCCTCTCTCTCTCCCTCTCTCTCCCCTCTCTGCTCTCCCTCCCTCTCTCTCCCCTCTCATCCCCTCGTCTCCCCCTCTCTCCCTCTCTCTCCCTCCTCTCTCCCCGCCTCCCCTCTCTCTCTCCTCCCTCTCTCTCCCTCTCTCTCACCTCTCCCTCTCTCTCCCCGCTCTCCCTCTCTCACTCTCCTCTCTCACCTCTTCTCCTCTCTCTCTCCTCTCTCTCCTCCCTCTCTCTCCCTCTCTCTCGCTCTCATCTCCCCTCTCTCCCTCTCCTCCATCCCTCTCTCTCCCTCTCTCTCCCTCTCTCTCCCTCTCTCTCCCTCTCTCTCCCTCTCCGGATCTCTCCGCACTCCGCGGGGTCCGGCCTTGCTGAGATTGGTCTTCCTTCGTTCTCGCAGTTCTCTCCGCCCCATTCCAGCGATTCCTCCGCAATTTCAATTTCCTCCAGCGATTTCGAGCCATTTTTGAAGATTCACCTCGCCACTTTGGCGCCGCCTTTACAGCGGCCAATCAGGCACACCACCTCCGCATAATCCACACAAAGAGCCTCAGCAGCCGCCATGCGTTGCTCTCGGTGTGAAGACCTATGTGAGAAACAGTGTGAATCAAACGCTAAAAATCATGATCCCGTTGCGTCTTACCTCCATGCAGGAGCTCTACATCTTTACCCGGACCGTAATTTAGCTGCTTTGTCTTGAGTTTGAGCCCAAAGGTGTGTGCTCGGCTCTTCACGCAGCAAACAATGGAGGGTGTTGCTTCTGCATGTGCGGCGATGGCTTTCTGTTGCTCTCTAGCTGTGCAGTCCAAGCTGTGCCGGAGCTTCTGGATGCGATTCTCTGGTAGATGTCAAGCCTCGACGTCATTCCGGTCCGCACGTCTTCGTTCTGCATGCCCATCCATTTAAGAGATGCCAACTTGCCAACTCCAAGATGATGACTTTGCAGAGCCCTTCTTGTAGGCTTGCAAGCGAGGCAGCGAACCAGCTGCTACATCGTTTGGTCCCCCACCACATGGAGGACCCCGAGACGGCTTCCCTCGAAGTGCACTTCAGCGATGTCGTGCCATCCTGACAACGTGTCAGCCGTGCAGCCCGATCTCAGCAGCAGTCGTCCCAGGTGCCGTCAAATGCCATGCGTCAGCCAGGTTAACCCTGTAGTGCGGCTTGCTCAATGTCTCTAATGCAGCAAAAAGATCAAGCATGCGATCGCTCTGCAATACTGTTTGGAAATCTGTGCTGCCTGTCCAGCAATCAAGAGCATTCTCCTGAGCTGCTCGTATGGAAGGACTCGCAGGCCGAATGCTTGATTTGCCTGCATGGCTTATTCGAAGAACGGTCTTCACAATTGCTAGGGCCACTTCCAGAGATGTGCAGGTACTTCCACCCGTGCTGCTGACGGAGTCTCTGCCGACAGAGTCCCCGCGCCCAAATCCACGCTCCTCGCGCCCCAAACGGACGAGCAGCGCAAAGAGTGGCCAACCAGATGCTATGACTGCTTCCCAGGACAGTCCGAAGATCATCGGCAGAAGATCAACGTGCCCCAACTTGATCTGTGGTGCTCTCGAGCTCGGCTCGAGCAAAAGTAGCACCAACAGCTGGAGGCAAAGCTCACCAAGCAGGCAAGGTTCGGACTTGCCAAGCACATCAGCCTGGAGGGAAAAGGCAACGAGTGCCCCACCAAGCTCTCCAACAGCTTCTACCTCGTCTTCCGGCGTGGACAGGAAGGCAACCAGCTGAGATCGAGCAAGCTGCCAGGAGCTACCGCGAAGATGCCTCATGCATAAGCGATCTGAGCGAGCTCCCTCTTCTTCATCTTCTTTTTGAGTGAACACCAGCCCTTCGTTCAGGAGGGCGTCATACAGCACATCCACCGTAGTCTTGCCGAAGAGCTTCAGATTACGACCGGCTGCAAAGCCCTCTTTCTTTTCTCGGTCGAAAGGATACGCTGCGCCGGACAGGAAGTCATGCACAGGTCGCTTGTAGAGTTCGTTCTTGACTGTATGGGTTAGCCACAAAAATTCCTGCACAACACGTTTGTCAAGGAATGGGTATCTCGCTTCAATTCCGTGGCTGCCTGCAACAACTTCTTCCTTCATGAGGTAGTCTCTTTGCGTTCCGAGAAAAACCGATGGCCAAGGAAATATTGATGCCAGCTCATCTGGAAACAGACCCCCAAATGAACTGTGCGGGAAAAACTTGACCCCGGCAAAGCCATAATCTGAGATAATTTCATCTGCTCCTGCCCCTGAAAGATACACCAGGATGCCCGACTGTCTGCATCGCCTGAAAATTGCGGAAAGGCCCGTGGCAGCCCCATCTTCTTGCACGGATCCTCCTGCCCAATTGCTCTTTCCATACCGGAATGGCTCAGAAGCCACTGCGAGCCAGGACTGCTCTGTCTGGAAGTCTTGGAGGGAAAGGCTTAGCAGGAAGGCACGGGAGACCGATTTGTTATGAGCGAGACGCCTGTCAATGACATCAGGGAGCTCTTCTGCCACCACGGTGAAGTAATTCACTGAGTGTGCCGCAGCTTCAGCTTCCAGGGCCACATGCAAAGCACCAGAATCATAACCACTGCTTAGGCCCATGAAGACTGGGTGGTTTGAAGCAGCAACCCGCTTCCAAACTGCCTTCTTGAATGCAGTCTGCCAGTCTATAGTTGAAGTCTTAAACTGGCGCAGATCGAATTCATGCACGGCATGGAACTTTGCTGCTGTGACAAGGACAGCACCAGGCCGTGGGGCATCCGCCTCCAAGCTGAACGTGAGCTGCATCACCTGTCAAAACCAAGCTACCGTCAAAGACAACCGGAAAAATTGTTCAAAAGTAGGATGCGAAATCACAGATGTGACGAAACTCTGGTTTTTTTGGCGTATGCGTCGGACAACATCGCGGATTTAAGACTTGGTAGATCCGAAGATTGCGGATCCTTGTCCAGTTGATGGGCACTGATAATTCTGAGACAGTTGTCTTAACAATCCTCAGCGCCACATATGACCCCCGCGACCACAAAAAAGGAGTACCTAAAACGGCGGGAAGAACACATGATGTGTTCTCAGCCTATAACCCCTTCGGCCCGGTGTAGGTCTTTCACAATGCCAGCGAAACATGCTGAAACCAGCTCACTGCTGTCAATACTTCAGGAAGCCAATGCAGCCGGGTGCCACTATCCGACACGCTCCTAACACAGAACCTCACCTCTCCCCAAGCGCAACGCAGCAAGCTTGCTAGCACCATCTGGTTCCGCACTGGCCTCTAACATGAAAGGCTGGTTCAGGCAAGTATAATTAGGCACTGCCAAGCGTCACCTGATGGCACAGAAGTGTTTGGGCCGCTGGTGCTGCCGACAGTCATCGTCACATATCACAGTAGTAGGGACAACGAAGATGACGGGAGTTGGTGCCAAGAGTGCTGCCACAACACGACACTGACAAAAGTGACGGCGGCTGCAAGGGGAGGATTCTAAGAGCACGTGCAAAGATTGCACAAAAGTCGTGGTTCCAGTTCCAGCCTCGTTGGGCCTGGCGGCTCGAATGTGCCCCTCCGGAATTCCAAGGCGAACCAAGGCCTGAAGCCATGCAACTGATATTGATATATCAAAAAAACTGAGGTCATTGAAGGACAAGAGATGCAGAGCAACTGCTATGTTCGGAGCCGATCGATATGAAGATGCATGCAGCCCCTCATACACAGAGTACCTCACACTGCGCGCAAGACTCTGCTACAGCACTCTGTAGAAGAGCGATGGGATTGGGATTTCAGCGTCTCGTCTACACGCGGCTCGAAAGAAGTCTGAGTGTCTTACCACAAAGGCTTTGTGCCAAAGACGTCGGTGCTCAAGATCGCCACCTGCTAGTTTCGCGAATGCAAAGGACGGCAGACATGCTTGGGGCACCATGGGGCGCCCGAGCCACATGCTTCAAGTTCTTCGTTACTAGGACTTTTTCACTTGCGAAGAAGGCCAGGCCAGCAAGTTGCGAGTGCTTCGTCAAGAAAAAGCAAAACCGTCTGATGCTGGACAAAATGAGAACCATCCACATAAATCACATAAACAGCAGTGGTTCTACGAGGTGCCGATGGTGCCCCATGCACCCCGCGAGCCCCATGGACACAACGTCTCTCCTCATGGCTCTCGGGACGGCATCCCCCGACCCCACCCATCAGCCCCTGCTACCGGCCCCTGCTGGAGCACGCCCCGGCTTTTCAAGATCCCCAGGGTCCGCAGAATGTGTCAGCTGAAGAGCCTGAGAAACATGATCTTGGGGACAATGTTGTGCAACATTGCCCCAAGTGTCAGGGTGGGAAGGGAAAAAGTCCACATCCACCGCTACGGTGACCGTTTCACCCCTCCGATGTGTGGGCACACTCGGGGTGCAAGCAGGGTCCAAAATCTGTGGCTTCACTGAGTGGAGTGCTTGCTGCTCCATGTCCACGACCACAAGGGCAAACTCCTGGCAGCATCTGTCAAGGACAACGAACTGGCTAACCCGATCCCTTGTGCTCAGGCTCACACCCCATCCAATGCCTGCACAAAGCGAGGCCCCAGATGCCGATAGGCTGGCAGCAGGCACCTCCAGCAAGCGCACAGCGTTCCATAGCGTTGCATTAACTTTTGGTGGCGCTTTGTCGGACTCTCAGTGGTGAACTCTCCATCTGATCGATACAGGTGTCGTTCTTCAAATCCTGGTGGAACCTCACAAGGATTTCTGGACAGATCTGCAATGCCCCAATCGTGTCTAGAGGCCTGTCGTGCGTTGTAGATCTCTCCATTGTAGACAGCTGCCACCTCTTAGTTTGCACTGGCTTTGTTGCATTTTTTGGCAAAGACTTGACAAAGAGAAGGATGGGCAGAGAGAGAGAGGCAACATGGGAGACAAAAATGGAGCATCCACATGCAATGACACGACGTCCACACCTTCTCATGCACGAACGGTTGCCACACCCGCTCACCAGTCCTTGGCTGTCTTCTGCGGCTTTGCGGCAAACCCCAGCAACACTTCTGCTTCTTGATGACCTGAGGCCCCGGCATGTGAAGGAGATTGTGCACGAAGGTGAACGGACCCTTCTGCAGGGTCTGGGTGCCTCAGTATTGCTGTCTTGCTGCTTGGAGCAGTGTGGGTCCGTTCTTCATACACTTAACCTGAAACCCTGAAAACCCTACAATACCCTACGGAAACAACATGCCCTAGGTCTCGAGATCCTTCGGTTTTGACTCGAAACGCCCGCGCGTCGCACCGACATCAAGCTTGCGCCTTGGCCACCCCACCGAATTGCCTCCGCGGCCCTGGCCATCATGGCCCTACGCCTACTGGCCCGTGCCCTCAAATCCATGCCCTCAATCCGTTTCTTTCCACATTCGAATCCGGGTTTCTCGATTCTTCCAAAGTGCAGCAAAATTTGCCGCTGCTTCCCTAAAAACGCACAGGGCGGAGGAGCTCCTATTGCTTTGTGTCGCAACACGCCAAACTAAACCCCAAGGGACGAATCGGAGGCCGGAAAAGAGGAGGAGACGGAGCCGCCAAGTGTCTCCCGAAGCCAGGCATCCGGCAGGGAAGTGGGCACAATTTGCTGCAGGTACCAAGCCTCCCGGACTAGCCCACCTCCGCAAGAGGAGGCCCACGACTCGACGGCCAAGCAAAGGAGGGGCAAGACGATCCACTCCAAAAAACGACTCTCTCGGAGCAGATCGGGCACAACTGACCACATTTGTGGAATTTACGGATACTCGGCAACGGGACTCTCTGCGGGCTGCCGTGGGCGGCACTCCAACGATGCTCGACAGGACCTGTGGATCTTTGGCTTCCCTGAGGGGCACTCCACACTCTCACCAAGCGCAGGAGACCGGACAGGCACACAGGGCGAGGCGAGGAGGCGAGGAGGCAAGGAGGCAAGGAGCACGTTTAACGCAAAATCTTACAACCCCACGGGGTCAAAGGGCATAAAGATCGGGTGCCCCCCACCTCTTCACTGGGGCACGGGTGCCTCGAAGGTTGCAGGTGTTGGCCCCAGTCCAGACGTATGTATTCAGCACTTTTGCAGTGCAAGTGTGCCTAGGGCCCAGGAGTCTTTAGGGCATAGGAGTCCCAGCGTGAATCAACGTGACGATCCTCGGGATCGGCCCAGCACCTGGCCGTCAATTGTGGAGGCTGAGGGTTGGAGAACGACGACTGTCTCGAGGCGTGCGCCGTTTGAGCAGAAATGCCGGCGGACAAGGTAACATGGTCGAACGCGCTGCGCAGTAAACGGCGCACAAGGTAACATGGTCGCTGGCCATCCGGCCCTCGAGGTAGCAAGAAGTAATTCACCGCCTCACAGCAGCAAAGTGCATCAGACGGGGTCAGGCTTGCACAAAAACTGAGTCTGAGTCCGTCAGGTTCGAAAGAAGCCACGATGTCACCAGAAAGCTGCACATGCCAACCTGCACTGCTTCGAATAGCACAAAGTCATCGAAACAGCGATCTGAGGGCCTCGCTTTCTCGCGTACTCCTTCTTCACGCTTGGCGTGCCGGCATGGCGGCTGGAGCAGACTATCTCTCGGCAGCGCCTCCCCATTGCGAGGAGCACTTCCCAGGAAACGGCTGACTGAAGCTCACCTACCAAACCGACAACCGACATTTTGTGGCAGCTGTGTCGTCCATCCTGCCATGCCTCGATTGTATGTACTTCGATCACTTCACTCAAACTTGCATATGCTCGCAAAGCGACGCATCTTCTCGATGGTCTTTTCTCGCACGCTGTTTGCGCGTCATGCTCCAGTCGGCAACACGCACTGGCGGCTAGAGATCGCAGACTCACGCCAGTTGTCACGACTAGAAACTAACAGAAAGCTGTCCAGCAGGTTCACGCTCGATCAACTCACGGCCTGCAGAGTGCAGTGAATGGATGGCTGCTGTGTCAGTGGTGCACTGCCTCCCGCGCATCGAAAAACAACGTAAAGCTGTTTTCATACGCCGCACGCAGAGTCATGTCACGAAAGCTGCAGCCCCCTCGAAGCGAGAAAAGACTTGACAGCAGGATAGTTTTGCAGCTCAGTGACAAACATAGTCTTCACACGTGGATCAGCCAAACATTTCTTCGGGTTCTGCAAAACCCGCATGAACTCGGGATGATCCTTTAAGAAAGACTGCAGTGCCTCAGCTGGATTCACGGCTGGATCCGAAGTAACGGCCTCTGCAACTCGAGTATCCTCCCGTGCACCGGCAGCGCCGGAAGCGGCAGAAGCAGAAGCATCGGGGTCTGAGTGGGCTGATCGACCCGCTGCCGGGACCGTGCTGCGCTCCTCAGGGCGCTCCATCCACGGTTTCTCCATTTTCTCCTGCTTCTCCTGTTTCTCCTGCAGTTGCTTCTCCTGCTTCTCCTGCTGCTGTTTCAGACGCTTTGCCTTCCTGTCAGACTCGAACTTTTCAAGGAAGTCCTGTCGCTTTCTCTTCAGCGCCGTGGCATCAAACTCCCAATCCATTTTTGAGTCTTCTGCAGGAGGCTCCGCAGAGTCAAGCTCCACAACAGAAGCCCATTCAGCACTGGCTTCGAGATCGGCCGCTGCATCCAGAAGGGCAACAACATCAGTCACGGCATTCGCACTGTCATCTGAAGAGTCCTTCATTGGATCGGCGGCAGCACCGTTCAAGGAAGCATCTGCTGCGTTGCCTGACGCTTTTGTGCTCCGTCCCACACGCGAGGGCTGCTCAAACAATTGCGCGGGGAGCACTGATGGAATTGGATCCAACGGCTTTGCAGATACTTTCTCACGCAAGTCACGTACAGCTTTGACGATGTTACCGACCTGCTCATGGATGTGGATGTAGTTGCTGTTTGTGTGCTGCTGGTTGTTAGGCGCATGTTGCAGAGCAACCACAAGCCCTTCCAAGAGGTTGGTTGATGCACTCTCACTCATCACGACCTGAAGGAACACAGTCGCGGAGGGGCAGTGGCCGAGAACCACTAGTGACAGAGAGATAAGAGAGTCTGCAGCTCGGAGCCAAGTTGCAAGTTCCTCAAAGGCGGTCACCTCTTCTTCGGATCCTCTCTCCGCTCCGCGGCATTGCTGGCAACATGCCTGAAGCTCCAAAGCAATGCGTTGGGCACAATGTCCCAACTTGAAGGCACTACTCACGCTCACCCGCAGATCTCCGTCACATGTCTCTCCAGCGCTGAAAATCAAGTTGAGGCAGAGCCATTGTGGCGTGCAGAGACCCAGCAAAAGCTCCAACGCAGCGCAGATCGTTGAGACACTTGCAGGATAAGTCTCATCCGGACCCTTGTTGATCAGAAGGTTCACAGCCTTGGCAACCATTCTGCATTTTGGCACAGAGTGAGACGATGGCGATGCAAACATCAAGCCCAACAGCCTGATGGATTGAGAGAAGGCCATGGCAGGCAAAGAAGTGGCAGGTGCATGGGCAAGAACTGACTGGCAAAGCGTTTCTACCTGGTGCTCTGTCAGAGCCATCCTTGCAGCTGGGCCCAGCGATCCAAAGTGGGCCAAGAGCAGCAGCAAGCGGGAAACGGCACGAGCATCACGTGGATCGCGGGCAGCACCGCCACTGATATCATCACCACCCTCCGTCTCCAGGACAACACCATTCAACGCAGCCTCTGCCAGCCTTCGAATCAATTGTAGAACAGGAAGGCCAGCGACTGTCAGCTTCTCCACCACTTTGGCAGTGCAGAGATGCAGAAAGGCATCGGAGGTTAGAGCGCACTCAGCAACCATTGCCAACAGCTCGGCAACGTCTTCGAGGGACAGCCGCTCCCTGCGCTGATTGACCATCTCGACCAGTCCGAGAGCGTGAGCTGCCGCAGCTTCCCGATCAGCTGCGAGTGCTCGTACGAGGGGGTCTGTGGAACCAGGCGAGCTGTCCTCCCAATCCCGTACTTCTGAAGTTCTGCTCCAAAACTGGCCACATGCTTCTCGGCCGGCTGCTTGGCTTGGGGTCACAGGCCGCAAAATCACCATTCCGGCATTGCCAGTGCGGGTTCCTGTTGGTAAAAGCACGAACTGGGATTGCAAGCTGTCCCCAGGCTGAGAGGTAGAAAACGACAGGCTGAACTGATGCGATGTTGATGGGAGAACTGGCTTGAGGCTCCCACACGATGCAAGAAGTAGCATACCTCCTGTAAAGTTGGTTGGCAATACACGAGCATGCCGCAACAAAGGGAGTAGAAGCTGCCCTCCAGCTGCTCGAGGAAAGCTCTGAAACCAAACCCGGAAGACACGGCAAACCCACACGACGCAGTGTCGCCAAAGCAGCCTGAACTCGGGATCACTATTGAAAGCACTACGCGGTGCCAGACCGAACAATCCCGACGTCAGCCGATGTGCCAACATCAAAAGACTTTGGCACAACTCGGTGTGTCGATATTGAGACAGGCCCGCATCCCTGAGTCCACAGAGGAGGTGCGCACAAGTCTGCAAAGCTGCTTCCAGCAGCTGTGCGTGAGAGCGTCGGGTGGCGTAAATGGAGGCTATGGGCTTCTTTTCCTCTCGAAGAATGCTTGCCTCCAGATTCAGGTTGAAAGCTCCTGCACATCGAATCAGCCAAGGCACCAATTGAGCCAGTCCATCTCTACCCTTGCCGCTATCGGCAACTTGCTCAATGGCAATTGAAAGAGCCTCTTTTGGACTGCTGGCTGCCCTGCGACAAAGGACACGCATTGCCAGCAGCGGCAGCTCGGATTGATCCTCACTGGGATAGCGCTCATGGTCATCAGCCAGGTCATGTTCTCCAGCTTCTCCAGCCTTGAAGTCAACCTCTGGCACATCAACTCCACTGGCTGCAGAGTGTCCACCCAGGACCAATGCCAGTCGCCGACTCCCCCGCTCTTCGTTTGCTGAGCGCTTCAATGATCGAGGTCCTCGGGTAAGAACCAAGCTCGCCATCAGCTTACTGCTGGTCACGACGGCGTTCTGGATGGCAGGTGTTGCGTCAGACTCTTCTTGATGCCAAGGCCGCAATTGCGCCGCCAACTCCTTGAGGTTCTTGAGGAATTCCAAGTCCGCGCTGCGCCGTCCGAAGCGGACAGCCTTGCCAAGTCCGCCCTCCGCACCTTCACTATCTAAAGCAAACTCCAACAAAGCGCTCGGGTCTGCCTGGCACTCATCTGCTTCTGGCTCCAAGACCCGGATTGCTCTCAGCACCAAGGCCAACGCTCTGGTTCCAAAGCGTTCTGCAGCAGCGCCGGACGGGTCTGACAATACCAAAGCATGGAGAATCGCAACAAGATGGCGAAGGGAAGGCTGAACCTGAGATTGCCGGCTTCCACTTGGAGTAGCTTCCTCCAAACGCCCCTCCATTTGTCGCAGCAGCCATTCGGCGAAGAACACCGAGCGAAATGCATAAACAACTGCACAGCGACCAGCAGAACCTCTGACACAAAGCCGATGCAGAGCAGCCAGAGCTGGGCAAGCATGCTCTTCAGGCAGAAGTCCGCCACGGCCTTTGGACCTCACACGTTTCGGTCCATGCACAAAGAGACAACACGACTCGTAACAATACCAGAACATGGCATGCGCATGGCATCCCACCTCGTGGCAGCCACAAGGAGTAGTGACAGTCGCAGAGCACGGACGTGAGTGGCAGCCAGAGCTCCCAGATGTGGGGCGGCCAAGTCCCTGACCAAAGCTGCAGGAAAGCGCGGCACGGCCGGCAGCTTCTTGTGCCCCACTCCGCACTCAAGAATGCTTAACCTAGGCACACAACTACACCCCGCAGAAATCAGCAGAATGACCAAGATATGCATGCATAAGCTCATGCCAGCAAATACTACTAGCCTGCAGCCAGAAGACAGTGTGGTGTAGGTGGCATTGTCAGAAGCCAGAAACTGAGGCCCTCCAGAGCAAGACAGCAAAATGCACATCAGCTGTTGGATCGGTCGAAAGAGCAAGAGACGTTCATGTGGATGAATATGGGCAAGTCTGCGGAGTAAAACAGAAAGTCCGGGCAATAAGCGACGTCCAGTCATGAATGACTCCAGAAATCCGTACAAATGGCATTGACCTTGGGCGAAAGGATCGCTGGGCATTGTGCCCGTTCCACTGCCTCCGAAGATGATGCCCGGAAGCTTGGAAGCTGAATCATCCACAAGCTGGTTGCCGGGAATATCATCAAAAGGTCCAGAGAAACCTGGCTCGGCATCTTGCAAGTTGTTCGGCTGACTCAAGCCTTCAAGATGAACAGTCGCATCACGCAGTGCCGCTGCAGCGGCCTTGTGTAAACTGTCCTGAGGAGCCTCACTTCCATCTATCGACTCTAGCTTTGAGCAGCACTGATCAAGCCGAGTCAGAGCCTCGTAGAAAGAAGCCCTTCTCAGCAATGTTACAGCAACATGTTGCAGCCTTGGCTGTCCCGGAGTCCCATCGAGAACAAGTGACAGCACAACCTCGTATGCTGTAATTTGGCCGGACAGCGCGTCTGACCATCCAAGAAATGCCTCCATACCTGCTGCGTGCGAGCACAGCTGCAAGAGTGTCTGGAGTGCAGCTAGTTTGAGACTCTGTTGGCTCCACTCCTCGTCCTTCAGTACTTGGATAATAATGTCAAGGTCACCCTTCCTGCCCAATATCTCGGCGGCTGCTGTTGCCGACACCATGCATGTGGCAAGAGCTTGCAGCGTAGCTCGTAAAGGTCTGAGCTCCAGCCGCTCCATGCACCGAGACACCAGCGCAAGCAGAGAACGGCATAACGCAGGGCCATGGTGAATATGAGCTGCATTGTCAGGCGCCCTCTGCGCCAACAAAACTAGATCATGTGACAAGGCTTCCAGCCGAGAGACTATTTGATCGCTCTCCACGGCATCACTTTCCAAGAGCACTGTAGGAAGCCAGGCGACATGATCTGCCAGCCGGGAGTTTGCCTCATGCACAGCACCAAGCCCCAAAGCCCGACCGAATGTCGACGGGACTGTAGCATCCGACAGCTTGCCAGTGTCACCTTCAGTATCTGCCAGTTCTGCATCTATGCTCTTGAGAGCGCTGCTTCGCAGATCTTCCAAGTCCGCCATGTCAAGCTTGTCGCTTTCAAAGCTTGAATCGGGTCGGAGATGTTGAGCTATGCTGGGGAGTGCTGGCAACGACTGGCTTTCTGCACTTGGCAGAACCTCGCCATAAACGACGATAGACAGCTTGATAAACTTCCCTCTGACCACGATGCTGTTTGTGATGAGCTGACCGTTCGGCATGCTGAACATGCCGGGCGAGCTTGCTCGTAGTGCAGACATGGTAGAGTTTGCAGCCAGAAGATCCGTCGCGTACACTGCCAGACCGATCATGCGAATATCTGGATAGGTACGACCCTCAAAACTCGAGGATCCTGCTGGACCTTGCAGTTGTGCCTTCTCACTCCGGCCAATGACTTTGACACTTTGTACAGAAAGAGTCTCTGGAAAGCGTAGCTCCCTGGTATGCTCACCCATTTGACGTGCTTCCACATGATCTGCGAAGACCACCGTGTGGCCGAGCGACATTTCGCATCCGAAGCCACAGGTTTTCCCGCTGCAGCCGGCGCTTGCAGCGTCCTTGAACCGAACAAAGGCTGCGCAAGGAACCTGAAAGCACCACCAGGAAGCTTGCTAGTGAAGTGGGCGTCTGTAGTTGGCGATTCCGACTTGTGAGCATAGACTTGCACGAATCAGTTCGAAGCCATGGCTAAGTGCTGGACGGAGAAACAGCCAATGCCAGGGCAGCACGATCAAGGACAAGCATCTCGGACAAACTGTGTTTCAGAGATACACATGCACCTTCACTCTGCTGAGGCCACTGCTGTCAGGATGTTGGCACGGTGTCCAGCATTTTTTGTCTCAGCGCTGTCGACGAAATATCATTGCCTCGAGTAAGAAGACGTCCAACATCTGTATAGCTGCATTTGTGAGACCTGTGTGATTGCGGATGCATACGAAGGCCGGCACGGAAATCTGGCAATGCGAGAAACATGGCAGCAAGATCCTGGTAGAAAACGTGCAGGCGCACAGGATCCGCACACAGCGGTTCCAAAAACAAACAGAGAACAGATGTCTCAATGCCCTCTGGCGATCTCTCTGCCCTCTTCTCTACTCTTCTTCAGAACGGGTCCAGTTCGGCACCGCATGGACACCAAGCACAGCCCCAATGCTGCTCCCACCCTAGTCATCGTGCGTCTCGTGTTTAAGAACAAATCGGCTCAGCAAACAGGAAAAGCGTGATACGTTATGAAGGCCGGTGGCCTCTTTATCTGATACCCTTATACCTCCATGTAGCCCCTAGATACAAGTACCCGAATAAGAACCCCAATGTATGCCCCAGAAAACAGAAACCCTGCTTCAAGAGACCACCAACCCATATAAGTGATACAGTACGTGAGTTTTGTGAGTTCAAGGACTCAAAAATCCAGATCTGCCCCGACGAAAAGCAACATCAAGCAGCGTCAAGCAGCATCAAGCAACATCAAGAAACATCAAGGAAAAGCAAGCAACATCAACCAACATCAAGCAACACAGTCAAATCTGGCATGTCACGATTCTGGCACGGCCCATCCTCAGGGAGATCCGGCATGACAGGATGCGAGACGATCGTTTTGAAGTCGCCACCATCCACACCTTGACGGGTGAACCATTTGACATCTATCGCTGCAGAATGTTAGGTCTCAGCTCGACACGACCAGCGACTATGAACTGCACCCTGCAACCTTGCGCAGCAAGACTAAAGAAACAGAAGGCCTAGTTAGTGATGTATTCCTGGGCATGGACTATGCAGCTTCTGAAGTGCGTTCATCGTCCATTCCCGTTGCCTTCAAGTCGCCAGAACGAAACGAAGAAAAGATACAAGACTGTGAGCCACGCTAACTGTCGCTACCTCGAGTCTGTTCATGCTTTGGCCCGGACTGCTCTGAAGAGCTGCCATCCATGCAGCCTCTCGGAGCATTGGAGCACTCTTCAGGCATCTCTGGACCTGGAATCCTCTTTAATCCTCTGGAATCCTCTGGTTACCATGGCCTGGGGGAGCGTAGTACTTCGCATCGAGGATGCGCCTCCCACAAAGGATTCTGAAGGTTTGTCGAAATCAAGCAGCTTTACAGCCTGAGAGATCGTTGTGTTTCTTTGAAGAAAAACCTCGTCTTCTAAATGACATCCTCAACCAGGCAGCCTCGCTCCAACGAGTGAATGAAAAAGGAATGAAGGGTACCCCCCCCCCCCCCCAAGACAAGGTCAACACGAGGTGGTGGCATCAACCGTCCCCAGGAGGAGGAGATGCCCAACTACGCCCAACTGAGGGGTTCCTATGGCACTGTGCCAAGAGAAAGTATGTGCAGTGAACGGACCTTCAATTCGCAGGCTAGTCTGGACAACAATGTTCACAGCGAGCGGCATCCAACTCGATCATAACGACCACTTCGGGCGATTCGAATAGGAAGTGAGGCGGACCAGCACACTCGCAAGGAAACTGCACGCACAAGTTGCAGCAGGAAGACGCTGCCCTGGACTGGCGCATCGGCCACGGTTCGATATACGGATCTGCCAGTGATCCCAGGGTCCGGTGCTTGTGGCGTCTCTCAAAGGCTGAAGACACCCGGCATGTGCTGTCGTTCGGACTGATTAGCCCTCGCCCCTCCCCCCCCTCTGCTTTTTGAGGGACCCCTGACTGGACATCAACGGAGTTGGACACCGTTCTCAGGATTCCTTGCAGGAGAAGTGAGTTCTGAAAACAGTCTTCGCAACAAATCACAGAACAAACAATGCTGAAATTCTGAATCTCAGCTTGCGTGCCTGCAAAAGATTGGTGGTGAACTCTGCCGGCCTGTAGGTGTCATAACCAACTACGAAGCTGCTGCCAGGAAACCTTGGCCAGTGCAGCAGCTCCATACACGATAACTATACATCAGAAAATCATCAAACAATTGTACGCATATGCGTGTGCATGAAATGTTGCCTCAGGCAGGTTCAGCTCTGCTTTCTGCTGGAACAGCATCGCCCCGCTCGCCAGGACGCGATTTCCTCTGGACACGGCCTCATGCTTTTCCGCTACGCGACATGCCATTTGGGAGGCTTCCAAGCCTTCTCGATACGGGCATGCATCGACTTGACATCAACGGTTCCTTTGTCAGGATTCACGGCCTGAGTGCAATGTGCAATTTAAGCGCCTCTTTCTTTCAGCTTGACCACGTGAGGTCCAGGCACAAATCTCGAGCAAGACATGACTGAAAGGCCTCGTCATTAGGGATCAATCAGTGAACTGGCGCAGCATTGCGAGGGGACAGCCTCCCCAGCATCTTCGCGGCCTGCTTGCCCATCTCCTCACTGTGACATTGTGTTGGCATCACACTCCACTGCACGAATGAAGGCACATGCAATGCAAACCTGGCTCCATAAACTGCAAAAACACATGTCTGAACCCGGAGCTGCATGTTTCCAATTGTTGCCATGTCTGTGCTCTTGTTCAGCGTTTTGACATGCGGAATCGTCGTTGCACGTTAGACTTTAGCCAACACGGCCAACACGTGAGCGTGCCACCGAAAAAATGTGCATTCGCATTCAACAAAGCCACAGAAGCGAGCAACGCACAGTGTAGATGTGTAACTTGTAGGTGCTGTTGCAAAGACACAATTGTGTGTGTGTGTGTGTTATGAGTGCGTGCGTGCGTGCGGGTGTGCGTGGAAGCGTGGGTGCGTGGGTGCGCGGGTGCGTGGGTGGTGGGTGCGTGGGTGTGCGTGTGCGTGTCTGCGTGTGCGTGTGCGTGTGTGTGTGCTGGTGGTGCGTGTGTGTGTGTGCATGTGCGTGCGCATGTGCGCGTGCGTGCGCATGTTGCGTGCGCGTGCGTGCGCGTTGCGCGCGTGCGTGCGTGCGCGTGCGCGTGCGCGTGCGCGTGCGTGCGCGTGGCGAGCGTGCGGGCGCGGGCGTGCGCGGCGCGTGCGCGTGCGCGTCGCGCGGTGCGCGTGCGCGTGCGCGTGTGCGCGCTGCGCGTGGGTGTGCGTGGTGCGGGTGTGGGGTGCGTGTGGGTGTGGGGTGGTGTGTGTGTGTGTGTGTGTGTGTGTGTGTGTGTGTGTGTGTGTGTGTGTGTGTGTGTGTGTGTGTGTGTGTGTGTGTGTGTGTGTGTGTGTGTGTGTGGTGTGTGTGTGTGTGTGTGTGTGTGTGTGTGTGTGTGTGTGTGTGTGTGTGTGTGTGTGTGTGTGTGTGTGTGTGTGTGTGTGTGTGTGTGTGTGTGTGTGTGTGTGTGTGTGTGTGTGTGTGTGTGTGTGTGTGTGTGTGTGTGTGTGTGTGTGTGTGTGTGTGTGTGTGTGTGTGTGTGGTGTGTTGTGTGTGTGTGTGTGTGTGTGTGTGTGTGTGTGTGTGTGTGTGTGTGTGTGTGTGTGTGTGTGTGTGTGTGTGTGTGTGTGTGTTGTGTGTGTGTGTGTGGTGTGTGTGTGTGTGTGTGTGTGTGTGTGTGTGTGTGTGTGTGTGTGTGTGTGTGTGTGTGTGTGTGTGTGTGTGTGTGTGTGTGTGTGTGTGGTGTGTGGTGTGTGTGTGTGTGTGTGTGTGTGTGTGTGTGTGTGTGTGTGCGGTGTGTGCGTGTGCGCGTGTGCGTGTGCGCGTGTGTGTGGTGTGCGCGTGTGCGCGTGTGTGTGTGTGTGGCGTGTGCGGTGCATGTGTGCGCGTGTGCGCGTGTGCGCGTGTGTGCGCGTTGTGCGCGTGTGTGCGTGTGCGCGTGTGCGCGTGTGTGTGTGCGCGTGTGCGCGTGCGAGGTACGTGTGTGTGTGTGACGTGTGCGCGTGTGTGTGTGCGCGTGTGTGCGTGTGTGCGTGTGTGCGAGGTGGTGTGTGTTGTGCGTGTTGTGCGTGTGTGCTGTGAGCGTGTGCGCTGTGTGTGCGTGTGTGCGTGTGTGGTGTGCGTGTGCGTGTCCCTGTCTGTGCTTTGCATCGTGAAAAGTAAACATTTGGCCACAGCTGGCAACACCCCGCCACACGTTGCGCAGAAATTAGGAGGAAAGGCGCACCATTCAAGCACAGGCTTCAGGAATGCTTCTGTCTGGCTCTGCTAGGCCTCAAGATCTATCGAAAACAATGCCGGCAAGATACGTCGGTGGAGTTTTCGAGCAGCAGACCGTGACACAGTGTTACTACATGTCACGACATTGACATAGGACGACTGGCACAAACATGGCAAACACTCCGAGGATGGCTTTGTCTGCAATGCCAAGTGTGCTTTGCGCGTGCTACGAAGCTACACAAAGCTACACAAAGCTACACAAAGCTAGACAACGCTACGCGCAGCCACTGTTCAGAGCTCCACAGACAAGTTAACAATGAAACACTTGCTGCTGCGAGCTGTGAGACTTCTGACACTAATGGGCTTGTTCGGCCTGGTGCCCTCACAGCTGCCAAAAGTGGCTGTTGACACCTCGTCAGACCAGCCGTGCAGCCTCCGTTCAGATGCCATCCGCCTAAGGTTCTGGCACACACGAGGTGCTTTACAGGGTTTGCGATGCTCTTTGACAGAGACTAAGAGTCATGCACAGCCGAACGTTGCCTGACCGTTGCATAGGCTCTCGGCGGGCTCTCGGGAGCTCTCGAGTCCAAAACACTACAAAAGTTGCTCCCGCAACGGATCACAAAAACCGTTTTCTCGTCGCGTACTGGAATGGTCAAACCATGATTGCAGTGGAAACTGCTGGGTGAAACCTTTGATTGAGGACGAACTGTTCAAATGGCATTTATGCTTAAGGAGGATGTCCAAGCTTGCCAGAAAGACTGCGCCACTTGCCAAGCTTGATGGGCGAAGAAGCTTCACGTATACACTTTGCCGCTGAACTTTTTCTGTGCAACTGCAACACTCTCTTCGCGACAAATGGGACACCGTACCTTGGTGCGCTCCAACTCCTTGTTGGACAACTGTCCCGGCTTCACGGATTTCCACTGACTCTTGCCAGATTCCTTCAAGGCTTTAGCAACTGCCTTGCGCCGGCAGCCCGGGCAAAATATCAAATGTCCACATTCGTGCATCACAAAGAGGGCCGACTTTTCAATACACACAACGCAGATGCCTTCCAGCAGTGCAACCCCTTCGGGCGCCTCTGTGTCCTGCACAGAAGCTGCTTGATCCAGGTCCACATCGGCACGCTCTGTGTGTAGGGAACTGCTGTGGTTTGCAGAACCAATGGTCACGGACTGCTGGTCTGGCTTCTGAGCATCACCAGCATCTCCCTGACGCGGTTCAAGTGATTCGGGCATGTGCTGAGCCTCCCTGGACTCTGCACCTACCGGCAATGCAAACATGGAGAACTCCCCCTCATAGTCTGGGACCTGGCCTGAGCCAGGTGGGTCGTAGAATTCAGCAAAATTGGTGATTCTCCAAATTTTGTGGGCTTGCAGCTCCTCATTGAAATGACTCGATCTGAAGGACCGCACGATTCGATTGTAAGCTGCCATCCGCAATATTCTTTCTCTGCTGGGGAGGCACTTCTGCAAGCTTGTTTTCTCTTCCTTCATCCAGTCCTCAAACTGTAACACCTTGGGGCCGGCTACACGAGCAACATGTGACTAACGCTGACATACCATGACACCATGACACACCGTTACGTATCATCGCGACCGAACTACAGGGTCCCACACGTCCCACGAGGGGGCGCATGCAAAACGCAATAGACAATGAGCACTGAGCACAGTATCTGCCTGCTGCAAGCCCAAGATTTGTGTTGAAAAAGGCTCTGGCGCCCCTGGAAGTGCAAGAGCCACACACGTCAGAGTTTCAGCTGGGCATCAGTTAATGGGGCTGCAACGCTGATGCAAGCCTTAATTCGCTTTGTGTGGAAATTATGCCACTTCTGCGAAGTGGGAAAGCATGGTCCGTCGGGGTCGGGATACAACCAAGGTCGAATCTTCCAATCGTCCCTTGAAAATAAGAAAGAGGCAAGTCCTGGAGCTGTATGAGGGCAACAGTGCTTAAAGCAGCCTATGCCACAGTCTGCACAGTTCTCTTAAGTGTAAGAAAGATGAGGCACTTGGTAAATGCAAAGCCTGCTCTTCTGGCACAGATCTCGCATGACGTTGTAGGCCAACTCTGTGTGTTGGATGTTCTCCATCTCTTCAGGCGTCATGTCCAAGGGCATCACCGCATCAGGATCCAAGGGTGCATAGATACCCAGTTTTGGAGGACGGGGCATGGTAGATGCTTCCTCATTCCTCAGCCACATTCTACCCCCAAAAAACACCGACTTCAGCACAAACCTCAGCATGCACCTGCATGCTCGGAAGACTCAGCATCGTACTATACATTACCCATCTACTGCTTCAAGCTCGTGGGAGTTAGACTACACTGCAAAAACATAAAACACGACACAGAAAATTTCAGCGTGAATCTCCGCAACATGTTCACATCTGCAAAATCATGGAACTGCGCTTCGTGGTTAGCATGTGACCCGACAGCTTTTCGGTCGGTTGGCTCACAGTGAGGACCCTGCAGCTTGTGTTGTGTTGCACCTCGCAACCCCAAGGCCTCCACACATGCCATGGAGGCATTCGTGCAACCCGATCCAAACATACGCTCTGTTGCATAGAGGGTGAAACTACTATCCTAGGCCTGCGTTTGACTGCGGCAACGGCAAAAACTACAGTAACACATAACATAGCACGTAGCCGGACATAGCCACCAAAGCATCCTAAATAGCCAGGCCGCTGGCAGCCGATGGAACTGACAAACTCGGGTCTGATGCTCTTTTGCGCCTCCCTCTCGGCCACTGCATTGCTAACCCGGTCAATCACCTTTGCAAAAAGCTGCACCATTAACGTGTATGCCCTGGCGGCATACTGAGCTTCCTCAACAGCTTCAAGTTCGGATTTGAGCAGTTCCTTGGACTTGAGGAGTTCATCCGGCTGCTTGCTCGAACCAGCTATCCGTTTGGCAATTGCAAGTCGCTTGTTTGCCGTGTGGTACTGCTGCTCCACCTTAGTCTCTCCACGATCTGCGGAGTGTCATGAGGCTATATGAGGCTATGGGATGTTTTCAGTTAGTGTCAAGCACGACGCAATATACCTATAGGACCTAACCATTGCCACAAGAACTAGAGAAAGTAGAGCCGACTCCCAACTCTGACGATCCACCTGAGGACGAATGGCATCCATCTTTGTATGGAAACTGGTAGGGCCCTGAAGGTCCATTTCGGACATTCCAAGGTCCTCATTCCTCTTCAGCATGTCCGTGTACACCTCGTACATCTCCCGTTCGAGCGTCTGGCGGCCGCTCCGGCGGAGCAGTTCCAGCCGCTTGGCCGCTTCTTTTGGCAACTTCCTCAGACTCTTGAATCTGACCCGCATGCTATCCACTCCCCTCTTGTCCCTCCAACCACCGCCGGTCACCACTCTCCGCTTTGGTCTTGCAACATCTTGCAACTCACTCCTTACTTGCTCTCCGAACCTAAGTGATGCAGACCTCTCTCTTCTGCAGAATTTCTGCATAAAAGCGCTGTCTTTCGGTCTCTCGGCTCTTCTGGCTTCACAGCCGTAAAAGCGTTCGATGGGGTCCACCCTCGGCTACGTTGAGGCTTGCTTCCGGGAAGATTCTACTGCAAGTTGCTCTCTTGACGCCAGGAATAAGTTTAACAAAAAACATGTTCTACCACATGCCTTTCTGCACTTCTTTTTGCAAATTTTTGTTTGGCCGATTGGCCGCATTTCACAGCCCCATGTGGCCAATGTCCGCCTTGCAAGTCATGAACAGGATCCAGGTCCAAAGGCCGCGAGTCTAGTTCAGCTGTTGCTCCGTGATTCTTGTTGAGATGTTAACTTAACTTTGTTGAATTCAACCATTTTCCTCCCACAGGTACCGGGCTTCCTGGCAGTCTCTGGAGACAATCATGCCAATGCCTCGGGGTCTCCCAGCTGGGTCTCGAACGAAACGAAATATGCCCCGAGCAGCGCAAGCCCACAAACCCCGCGACGCAATTCCCGTAAACCGACGAGAACAGACGCACGAAGCAAACCCGTCCAAGAGCCCAAGAAACGGGAAATATGCACTGCCACGTTTTCGTGGCACAGAGTGATGCAAGCCACCAAGCGAGTCAAGCACCCAAATCAGCACAGGCCCAAACTCGAAAGCACAACTTCGATCGGACACACATGTGACGTCGACTTGGCACGCCTGACAGCAAGGGCAACAAACAACCCTACAGCCCAAACCCTGCAGGACACGACCTTGTGCTGCAAATGTGGGAAAAACTCCTCGCACTTAGGCCATGCCACTATAGAACAAAAGCGGTGGCCTGTGCAGCTTCAGCATGCTTCAACCCAAGCGGGTAGTAAAGCATACACGTCGCCGACCGCCGTGCCCTACACTAGCGGGTCGTCGGGCTCGGCTTTTTTCCATGTCAACATGTTTGAAAAACCCTCTTCCTCCCACCCATCTTGCTTGGGAGCCTGATGATCAAGGTCATTCAAAACTCGGGTCATTCACCTACTGAATAACAGGGAATGGTCCAGAGAGCGGGGAGGGAGTGGAGTCTCTGGTGGCATCATGTTAATGAAGCCAGCTCGCGGCAGCCCACATATCTTCACGTGGGGCATTGCTCGCTTGCTTACGAGTTTCTTAGATGATTTGGCTTGCCTGCATTCAGACTCTACCTGTCAAGCACTGCCACTCAAAAGGTGTGCACGATGAATAACGACGTCTGTTGGACGTGCCTAACAGGCGCACGACGCTTTGTTTGAGCCTGGATGCATGCGGGCACTCACGCACAGCCTTGCACAACACATGGCGAAGATGGCCTTGCACACAGCCCTGATAGACATGGCATGACATCATGCGTTGGCTGCAGACATGAACTTTCTATGAACCATGTATGTTCACAACCCGTGCCACCTCTCATGTTCTCAAGTTCACACTCGCTTCTCTCCATCGCATTTGCCGAAATGCAACAGGCAATTTTCCAAGGGCACAGGGAAACAGCGCTTTAAGCTCGTCACGGCCGATCTGAGTGATCACGATGAGCTCGCTCTGATTCCGACACTTGGTGTACTCCACACACCGTTGAGGCAGTGGAGTAAGGACATTATGAGAAGACTCGCTCTTCGAGGAGATGTCTTTGAATCGTCTCCACAGATCAACGGCGAGGGATGGCACTGAAGCATTGAACACATCTTTCTTCGCACAATGGAAACACCGACCAAACAGCCCTGCATTGCTGTGAATAGTTCGCAAGGAACTCAACTTTGCAGCCACCCACCAGCAAGAGTTCCTGCTAGATAGTGAAAACAAGGCACTAGTGTCAGCGTCGATACAGGTCACCTCCAATTCTTTTTGGCATGCCCGGGATCAACCACTGGCATCCTGCCATGAAAGGTTCGAATCTTGTCACTTGTGTTCACTTGTCACATTCAATCTTACAAGCTCGAAGACAAACCGCGTAACGACGTAACGCAGCAATCTGGCCTAGAGGTTTCCATCTCCGAGTCGCGCTGCTGCATTCGACGCCGCAAAGCCTCCTCAAAGCTCATCCCACCTCCGCCGCCTCCTCCACCAGCTCCTCCAGCCCGATCTCCCCGATCTCCCCGATCTCGACTTCTGCTGCGCCCTTTCCTGATGCAAAAGATGGCGCAACTGCGGTACAGTAGGAAATCACGTATGCACCGACCTCACTGCCTCCTACAATAACAGCTTTGGCTTTGACAGACAAGCACAATACAACACGAAATGGTCTTTCCGACTCCTGCCTTTTTTTTGCGCGCCCTTTCTTGCCACGGTGACTACTGGACGTGACCGAAGCAGCCGAGATTGATCTTGACCGACTGAGATGGCGCTTCTTTTTTGGTGTGCGCTCTCGGCGCGTCCTGGCTTGCAGGATTTGGGTGAAGACAATTTTAATTGGATGTCGGGTGGTCCTGATATGCCCTAACTCAACAAGCTATGCAACAAGCCCCCGCCTCTCACGCGCCACATGGGGAGTCTGATTTTGCTGGTTGAGACGCTCCAGCAAGGCAAGGGAAGTATCAACATCCTCTTCCTGCTTCTTCTGGCTGGCCTCATTCTTTTCGGCCATTGCCTCGAAGCGGGCCTGCCCGGTGAATTGGCGTGAAGAAATGTTTGTGACATTTTTGCATGGACTGTCCTCGCTGTCCTCCTGTGCACATGTGCATATCAAATATAGCAAAACGAGGATCCCGAGAGATTGCCTCTGAATCCTCAGCCCCCTTCCGCCGCTTCTTGCCAGTACTTGGATCTGGCATTGGTCGCTCGCGGATGGTGAAAGTCCAGCCGCCTGCCGCATCTTTCTCGGGATCTTTCTCGGCGTCGGCCTTCGCCTCCTCCGGCTTCGGCTCATCTGCGCTGACCTTTGGATCATCCTCCGCACTCTTGACGCCGGTGGCAATGTCATCATCCTCGGCCTCGAAGAGCTTGTTGGGCGCCCACTCATCAGAGCGCAGAAACCGACGCTGCTTCTCTGAGAAAATTGAAAGGCTGTCCAGGATGACACCTGAGTGGCACTGATCACGCTACGTTCTACCATTCTACCACTTCTACCACTTCTACCAGCTTGGAGCTTCAGTTCTGTGTTAAAGCAGGATTCCACGTAGCTTTTGGCTGTTCCTGGTTGGCATTGTCGCACAAAACTTTCGATTGGAGACCTTGGTCAGTATACTGAATGCATCCTGCCCATCTTGAATCAGGTCGGCTCAAACTGAAACTTAAAGTACGGTTCACAACATGGACAGTTCGATCCATGTTGCTATGTCATAGAGGTCAGTGGAGTTTGCCCTTTTATCCTCGACCATTTTGAGTGCCTGCACGCAAGCTGGAAAAGCCGCCTGTGTTCGTGATGCGCGCGGGATTGCCATGCCTTGCTCAGCCATTTGAGCCGTGCTTCTGGCTTCAGTGCTAAGGCAGTCTTCAGGTCGACTTGCACCTTACGGCGGAGCTTCAGAAAGGTGCTTGAAAGAACCGCACTGGAAACGACATTAGAGTGACACTTCTACTTGTAGGTTCATGGGTGTAAGCCGGGTTAAAGTAGGGTACGAACCTCGAGGTAGTACTGAGTACTGCATGAGTCGAGGCTCAACTTCTTCCCTGCCTGAAACCTGCCTCCAACACCAGGCCTGACATGCAACAACAAAATTTGCCCTGGGTGGCAGTGGAAGACTATGACTATGCGGCCGGGATGCTTCGTCGACATTCTCTACAATCTTCTTGACTTCTCCTGGGTAGGTGTGGGGTTGTTTTGTTGTGCCGCCGCGGCACATTTCGTGTATTGATTTGTTTTTTTTCCCGTGGCGCAACGCATTCTTGGCCAGCTGCCCTTGCAACATGAAAGGGAAAGGAAGGAAGAAACGACCTGCGGTCCATGACCATGGCCTGGCCACACTTACAAACTCGGTGTTTCTGTTGAAATCATATGAAATCATGTGCCCCCCGGGTTTCATAGCGAAGCTAAGATCCATAAAGGTCTGGGAAGTGACCCAAGGGCGGGTTTCACCGAGACGGGATCTGGGTCACACGCCCGTACAAGTGGAGAGCAGGCGATTGCGTGCATGTGTCGGTCTCGGTGGTATCGGCCGGGCTGCAAAGTGGCGGGCAAGGCGCGGAAAAAGTAGCGGTGCAGCTCAGAAAGGGAAGCAGTGCTGTAGGTCGAGCTGTGGCGAGCAACGAGAAAACAACCCAAAAGCAGCGATGCGAAAACCGGCAGAAAGAACAGGCGGCAAGAAGCAACACCAAATGCGTGCCCAACAGGGAAAGCAGAGGAAGCCAGAAAGAAGCAGTACCAAGAGGACGCGCAGGGGGAGCGAACGGAGAAGCAGGCAAAGGAATGGCGGAAGAATCAAACTCAATATTGAGCAGAACTTATGATTCGGAAGAGGACTTCAATGGGCACCAGGGGCCGGTCTTAAGGCACAGAACCCCAAAGACCGGAGACCCCGTGGCAGGCGGAGCTAGGAGGACACCTCGCAGGAGGAAGTAGCTATCCAGGTCAAGCTGCCCTGATACAGAGCCCGGAGTATGGCTAGATGCCCACTAAAACAGGCAACGTGTTCTGTTCTGGCTAAGCTCCCCCCCAATTTCCCTTTACTAGTGATTTCTCGTTCTAGAGTCCTTTTGGACGGGGACACAAATGCTGACCAGTTAAAAGGTCCGTCAGTCTGCCTTTCTTGGGCACTTCTGTGAGCGGTGCTCTACATGCTACATGTTCTTGTTGCTTTTTGCTCGCCTCCTGCCCCTCTTTTTCCTTCTTACAACTTAACCCAAATTCAACGAGCAGAGAAGAACGAATCGAAACTTCTTTTTGGTGGAACCGGATTGTCGAAATCAGGAATTTCTACGCTCAGTTCAATCTGCCTGTTCAGAAACAGATTTGGGAAAGTCGTTCTGTGCTTGTAGCATTAAGCGCATGCCTTGCACAATGCCGCGGATCAGAACCACTACCTAATACATCCAAGCTTCGCTTTTGTCGGGTGACAACCTCTGCAGGCAATCGTCTGTTGAGAGGATTCGCATCCTCTCCAGACATGCCACTCCTCAGAGGGCGTCCCTGGGCCACTTCTGCTGTCCATAGACTCTGAGCCGAAACCGCCGCAACCACAAGGACTGCGTGAAGTCAACAAACATTCCAAGGTCGCTGCTAAGCGTGACACAATGGGTCCCTAAGTGCTGGAGTACGCTTCACAGCCGGCTTGGGGTGCACTGCTTGGAACGGCAATGCACAGCATGTCCCAGGCCTCTGCTTCTGTGGAGTACATCATGGTACATCCAGAACTATCACGGCAGGCCGCAGTCTGCAAGCCCTGTTTCCCAAGCTACAGCTTCCTGGAACCAAGTGACATTGCCACGAGGTGCGTTCGAATTCCCACTCAGTGTGCTACAGCAGCAGGACCGCAGAGGTGCACGAGGCAAAGGCAACTGAGGCAGGCACCTCTGGCAACGCCTCCCACCTAAGCGGTCAAGCGCGAGGTGCAAAGATGTGCAAAGGAGGGATCCCGGCCAGAAGAAACACTGGGCATCAAGGCGTCCTTGGCCACCAAATACTTCCTCAGCTACAGCTGAAAAAGGTGAGGATGACATGGCATGACATAGATGGGCACAAGGTCGGCACAGCTTCCCTTCTACCAGTTGGACCAGGAGCTCCTGCAGGCTGGATACATGCAAACTGCAGGGACAGATTCCTGCGTTACCCAACCAAAGCCATTGGGTGAAAGAAGAAGTTGTCCATCAGTGTCGCGCCCTCGCTGGGCCACCGCCTATGCTCGAACGCAAGACACTTCTACGACAAGTTGTGGGCAGCTCTTCTCATTTGAGCAGAACACAGAATGCTGCTTTGCAATACTTTGCAATTTTCATGCTGTGATGACTGCCCAAGTGCCAGGCTCTTCACCAAACACATCCTGCAAAACAGTTTGCGCGATGCCAATGATGCAATGATGCACTTCGACGAAGCCACAAGTCAAGACGTCGTCCTCCTCAACCCTCAACTCCATGGGATGAATGCTTGACCGCGCATTCGAAACAGAACTGATGACTACCGTGAGGAACAACAAACTTGCCAGAAGCATGAGCCAGCGCTGCGTGTAGCCGAGCTGTAGGGCACATCAGGAAACTATTGCAGAGTTGGACGACATACATCTTGCTGCTACTAGCCGTCACTCGTTTCGCATGCTGACGGAGCTCTGCTGTACAGGTCGCCCTGTCACAAGGTGCTCAGCATCGCAAACACTTTGGCGATATCAGGGCTACAAGACACCTGAAATCAAGAAACGGGTCTCGCAAACTTCACAAGGTAAAAGGCAAGATCAAGCAATTGGGGCCCAAACTCCGGGAATCTTGCTCCTTATCAATGCAGCAACAGAAATGCAACATGTTCCTTCTGCCAAGAGGTCGATCGGATTGGGCTTGGGCCCTGCAGCATCTACCAGCGGCTTGATGTCTGCAAGGTATCTGCGACCAATGGCTGTGATTCCTCGGAAAGGATACTGTCTGTCAGGACATGTCAGGGATTCTCACCTCAGCTGAGCTGCGCACTTCGCAACCTGATTTCGCACATGCTTCCGTTGCTTTCATCACTCCGAGATTCTCGAGCTTCCTCAACATTTCGAACCTCGCAAGATGTCGTGGCTGGTCCGGTCTTGGTAAGAAGGCAACTACTGTAAGACATGACAGACTCTGAAGACTCTTCGGCTCGGCCCCTCACGAGGCCAGTGAAGATAGAGAGAAACAAGTCAGCCTTCCAGTCGGCAGTTCTGCATGGTGAACAAGGGTGCAAGCCATACTGCTGACCGTTTCTTGGATGGCTTCATCCAGTTCTGTCCGACCTCGAGTCAAAGATTCTGGGAGCTTGGAAACGGCATGCGCAGCTGCAATACAACATAAGGCCGGGTCGTTTCTCCAGGGCGCCTTCCTTCAATTGCACGATGCAAACCCTCAGATCTACGATCGTGATGGCGCCTATTGCCCCACTTTGCAGAAACGGAGCAAATGGATCCAAGGAAAATGCAACATGGATGTCTCAGGTGGGGGGCGGAAATGCGGCTAGCTTTCAGGACAAGCCCGCCAAACACAAGCCAGCACATCTGCAAGGCTTGCAAAGGCTGCCGGGCAACCAGAGGATGAATGAACCAAGCCAAGAGTTGTGCCTCAACCAGTTTTTTGGCGATCGCCAGCTCTGTTCGGGCAGACTGTAGACGGCCCAAACCTGAAGCGCAAAGCTCTAGTATGAAATCTTGCGTGTTTGGCACTTGGTCGAATAAAGGCTCGTGCATTTTCTAGCAGCCGCATGGAGGACATTCCACACGTACAACTCGTCACAATCCTGGCATCTAGGCCAGACGAACGACGATTAACACATGTTGCTCACATCAGTATCACCAGACCTCAATCTCAACATGCATTCTGCTACTCTTATCACTAGACGTGCTCCCAAACCCAGCAACATGCCTTGCTCATCAACGCTACCTCCACAACCTGTCGAGGTGCCAGCACCTGGCAAATTCACTGTTCTATCCGAAATGGCGAACAGTTCGAGTTAAAGACCCCAATGACTTGGCAAGGTGGATGTGAAAGCGTGATTCCACCCCCTTGTGCAAGGCCTTTCTGTTCAGCAGAGCGTCAATGGTAATCTCCAGCCCTTGGCAATCTTGGTGTTAAACATTTAAAGAAAAAAACCAAACATTCCCAAGGCAGATGCTGCCCCATGCTGCACCGAAAGCACACAGTGACTGCAGACTGGACCCCAGTGCACTGAGCATCCGTGGAGAGACCCCCACACATAACCCCTGCGCATGTCCCCAGACACTTGCAGCTAACTTCCGGACTTTTTACGAGAGGCCGGGTGAGCCTGAGCCCTTCAACCCTAGCAATGGCACTGTCACACCTGATGGCAGACTGAAGCCAAATCTCCAATCCACCCGAAACCGGCACGTCATCTTGTAATAGTGCTCGGCTTTGTCTTAGCATCTCATCCACAAGCCCCTGTTATCCTCTTCATCAGGAACCCACCCTCGGGACAGAAATTCGGCGGTTAACCGTTGGAAACTAACTAACCCTAACTTTGCGCCCCTGCATGAATTCAAGTAATGATTAAAGGCCCTTTTTCCCCTTGTCGTTTTCCTTTCGTTCGAATCTGTCGAGAAGGCCGCAGATTTTGGGCAGACCTGTTTTTCTTACAGACCCCGAGCAAGCAAGCAGGTGATCTGTTCTTCCATGGCTGCTCGGTGTGAATGCCGGAAGTTGGAGTAGAGTGCAATCCTGGGACCCCTGGAAGGCATGCGCCGCGACTCAAAGACAAAAAGAAACATACATACAAAAGGAAAACTGACACTGTCTGCAGGTGTATGCTACTGCGCTGCAGCTGCTCACTCACGGCGTTTGTCCTAAGGCGTCCATGAAGCTAAGTTTCAACCCCGCTCACCCCGAACAGCAAAACGACTCACAACAGCCCAAACGAAAAAAACAACGGCGGGCTTGTCGGGAGCGTGAGGAACAGCCTGAAGGTTCGGCTCGGCTACTCAAGCCACACCCCGGCAGGGGGGGGGTTCCCCGAAGGCGACTTGAGCCAAAAATGTCTCTCTTCTTCTTCTTATTGTTCTTCTTCTCCTTCTTCTTCTTCGTCTTCTTCTCCTTCTTCTTCTTCTTCTTCTTCTTCTTCTTCTTCTTCTTCTTCTTCTTCTTCTTCTTCTTCTTCTTCTTCTTCTTCTTCTTCTTCTTCTTCTTCTTCTTCTCTCTTTCTCTCCCTGCTTTCCTGTCATATGCTTTGATTCATTTCCTTTCATGCGCACTCAACGCCCGAAGGGATCGCCCCTCTCTCTCTCTGTCTCTCTCTCTGCTCTCTGATCTTCTCTATCCCTCTCTCCCTCGCCCTGCTCAATGAAGGGCCATCTTAACATCAAAACATCGAGGAGCTGACGCTGCCCATGCGCTCTCCAAAACTCGAAGACACAGCGAGCCAAAGCCTTGCCGAAGCCTCGTAGAAACAACTTCGACCACAAAATGACAGAAGGTTTTCATGCTTGCAACGCTGGCAATCACGCAGTTGCAGCACACGAACTCCGTGTGCTGCAAATATGGGCCAGGCTTTGAGACCCACTCTCGTCAGCAGGGCGCAACTGCTTCAAAACCTGCCCCACAAGCTGGCAGCTCCATGCAGCTGCAGGATCCAGCTGATCATGGCACAAGAAAGCACAAGAGGTCCTCGGCATGCCCATCCTGCACACATGACACCACAAGATCATCACAGATCAATGCTTTCAAACCACTTACCAGAAAAGTCGGTAGCTCGAATTGCACGTGCCCTTTCTGGCTGCGATCTTGCCAGGCGGGTCCGAAAGCTCTGCATATGCTGCCGCCAGCTCGCTAGAACCCATTGAACGTGCTACAGCAGGTGGGGTAAGCCAGCCAGCTTGGAGATGACTTCGTCACGATTCTCCAGCAGCTGCACATCGATGTGCACGACAGCCGCCGCTCTGGCCTCAGCACCTCCAGAACCAGGGAAGAAACCTGCGGCATCGCCAAGACTTGAGATAGCCCCATCCAAGTCATAGGTTTTGACAAGGGCATCCTTTAGCGAAGGCCGAACAATGATCAGAAATCGCGGCTGTGGCGGTCCCAGTTCACCACGGGATGCAGCACGCAGCAAATCTCCCAGAGCTGGTTCGAGGCCCTCACCTCGGAACTCCAAGGGGCCAACCTCATCGATTAGGATCCAATCGGCGCTCTGAAGCTCTCTGAGGCCATGCAGCTCAGAACGAGCAGCTGCAAACGTGTCTCTGTCGAAACAGAAATTCCCCACCTGAACTCCATCCACAATCTCAGTTGAACTGCTCTGCCCACTACCATCACCAGGCGTGCCATCGTTCAGCTGAAAACGCAACAACTCGGCAGAACCCAGCAATTGCAAGCGTCGGCGCCCATCCACAGTAGGAGCCAACAGGCCACCAACTCGGAGACCCTTTTCTTGCATCTTGGACAAGCAATGTTCAAGGAATGTGGTTTTCCCTGCACCAGAAGGCCCACTCACAATGAAGAATTGCGCGGAGAATGCCCATTCGCTGGCCAGCATGACTTCTTGCACCAGGCTTACAAGGCATGAGCTGCAGCGTTTCAGGGCATATATGCTCCCAATATCACATTCAAGCCAGCAATTCAAAGTGGTTTGGGCATGTTGTGCACAAACATCATGCATTGTGCTATATGCATAGAAAGAAAATATACCCTGGAACCAAAATGCCAAAGGATGGACTGTCATCTGCTTGCTGCGGTGGCGATCTGAGACAGAACGCGCGACAACAGGTTCTGAAGCAGCCCACCAGGATCTTTGCCATGTGCGTGGGGGTCTTGTGACCCTGCTGCAGCATGACAGCCAGGACAAGCTCGGCCACTTCCTGCGCCAAGGATCTGGCCAGCATGGGTCACCCCCGAAACATCACAAGTCGATGATGCCAGCAGGGCAAAAGCACGAAGAGAAGCATAGTGGAACGGACATCATCAGTGATAGATAAGTTGTTTGGACGGAGGTTTGAACAAGAATTCTCGCGGGACCTAGGCATGTCTACGAATGATGGCCTGAGTCTTCGGGAAAGTGCGCTTCTGAGCTACAAGTAAGACAAAGCGTCCATGGAATTTGGAGGCGATGAACCAAGCAATCACACCACCGATCGAGCATGATTGAAGATGCACTTCGACTCGCGTCTTCCCTGCCCTGCCAGCCTCCAGCGGCCAGGACTGCGCGGGTGGATCCCCAAAGTCCTCATGGACCTAGCCAAGCAACAAAAGCAGTTGAGCTGACAGATGCGGAATACAGCCTCACAGTGGCTTCACATGAGCTTGCCTCAGGTTTTACCTCGGTCTTTTGTCGCTTGGGATGAGGCAAATCACCCTCCTGTCACTGCAAGCAAACCCATCCACCTGTCCCTCTGAATTGCACGAGCCACTTCAAGCGATACTTGTCCACGCCTCAGCTGGGGCGACTTGGTCAAAGTCCTCGGCCTGCAAACAAATCGATCAGGTTCAGTTTGGTCAACCTGAGCTGAATGCCTCTGCACTGCATGTCAATGCAAGATGCCCACTGCACATTGCATATTGCTCCTTCGGTGTGGACTTCATCAGCCTCGGCAGCTCGAGGTGTGCAAGTTGTTGAAAGAGAAGGGTCCGCACGGTGGAACCGCCCAAAAACAACAACACCCATGCCAAGATGCCTGCCACTGGCAAAAGTCAAAAACTTTTGCTGGGTTGGCATCCTCGAGTGAAGACCCCAAGCGCTTTCTTAACAACTGCATCAGCACGACGAAAGAGCATCTTACCTTGAGGCGAACAAGATTGATCATGCGGCCGAATTGTGGCTTGGAAACAACCTGACAAGCAAGTGCAAATCGACCGCTTGCAACCCAAACCTTCACGCGCTGCTGGATTCATATAATCCGGTCATTGCTCGGCAGGAGACTCCGAGTCCACTTGCCGGTTTCGGTTCTGATGGTGCCAACACGTGCAACGCCTGCCACATTGGCTTCAGTTAGACATGAATTTACAGAGTTCATGTCCTTACTTTCCTTGCCTCGGGCAGTCTGTGCATCATGTTGTGATGTTCCAACAGACGTTGCCTTACCAGCACTGGAATGATTGCCGTGCCACTGTCTACATGTATTGTGACTACAAAGGCTTCTCACTTGTGCTTTTTTGGCTCACTTGCGACTATAAGCAGGCTCACTTGCGTTTCACCCGTAAACGCAGTTGAGGGGTTCCGGCTCACCTGCGACTATAGAACAATTTGTGAATATTTCATAGTCATAAGTGAGCCTGGATTTCTGGCTACCACGTCGGAGCATCAGAGCATCCTCTTCGGGGGGGGAGAAACGGGGGGGAGGAAAACGTGGTCCACTGATGATCCCCGCGCCATCCCTGCTTCGTTTTCTTTTTGTTGCTTTTAATCCCCGCTTCGTTCATCCCCGTTTCGTTTTCATCCCCGTTTCGTTTTCATCCCCGCTTGAACCTAAACGAGAACCCAACATCCGAGATGTTTTTGGGAAAAAAAGGTACAAGCGAGAACCTCAAAATTTGTCACAAGCGAAAAAGCAATGAGAAAAAAGTCACAAGTGAGGAAAAAAAAGAGTCAAGATCCGGAGGATGCCAACTTCTGCTTCAGCCCTGGACAACTTCTGGAAGGTCATCTTGGCAAATCGCTTTGCCTGCAAGAAATGCTTTCTCAGTATAAGATATTCTGGCAATGTGCGGCATCGGCCATCCGCCTCACAGGTGGCTTCCGTCCCGACAAACAAGCTCCAGTCGGCCTGCCACATGCTAGCAAGCGTGTGGGCCGTCATCACTCCCCGTTCTACTTTTCGTTCCACCCCATTTTGTGCTGGCCGGCGGGTGCCTAACGGAACCCAGCTCGTGTTTCGGTGAGGAAACCCGAGTCAGCCTGATATGTTTAGTGTTCTTGCCGTTGTCTCTCCCCCTTCAATCCGCTTCCCCCATCATCTGTGACCCTTTTCGTCGCCATGTCCGTGACCCGTTGTCCGTGATCTGTTCAGACTTTCCGCTTCTTCTTTCCGGTCCCATATTCTCTCCATGATCAACTCCATTAATACTTTCCGTGATGCATTCCGTGATCCCCCGCCATCTGTTTGTGTGGGGCTGGGCGCTAGCTATATACTCTGCAGGATTCTACTGATCATAGCGGAGCAAAAATACCCAGCAACCCCACACCGAAGAGGAACAAAATGCTTGGCCTGGAACGAGTTCTTGGACAAACGACACGCAAAAGTGCCCGCCTCATCGTCAGGATGTTTACACAGAGGGATCAGGCCAAAGGCCATGCAAAGGTCATGCAAAGGTCATGCAAGCAGATGCCAAGGCCCGAGCAAGCGCATCCAGGCCTTGCTTTTTGTCAAGACAGCATTGTGTGTTTGGACATTCTTGCACATGCACCCAGAAACTTCAAATACGCAACATCCCAACCCTTGTTGAGCCATGCACAATCCTCATCCAGGTCTGGCAGTTTCGAAAACAATGCCTGAAAGGCCTGCTGTGCCAAAGCAGGGCCAACATCCTTTGCCAAGGCAACGGGGCCTCATCAATCAGCTTGTTCATTGAAGCCTGCTTCTCCGCACACACCTGAAGCAGATCCATTCAAATCTACCCTGAAATGTTGGTCAATGCTTCCCCGCTTCCCCACCTCGAGCAACCGAGAATAAAACAACGGAGGCAGCCTTCACGCAGCTTGCAAAACGGACTTCTCTCATTTCTCAAGCACCACGCCAGCAGATACCGAAAATCATTTTGGGAACACAGGCATCGCAGCAAATCAAATAGCGATGACTGGCCGACGTGAGAAATACACCATTATCTGGGCAAGGATCTCGCACGCTGAAAACGAATGATTCGCGCACTGAAATCTGGATTCACGCTCCGCATCTTTGCGCACCCAACGCGTCGATTCACGCACCAGCAGCTTAAATGGAGCAAGCGTCACACATTATGTAATCGACCCTGTGGAGTATAATGCCGATGGCGACTGAACATGACTGAACGTGCAGCGTGCACTGCCTGATCGTTCGGAGCTGAATCTGGTAAAGGAGATTCGGCAGTGTCAGCCTGAGGCTTGATCATGTACTTCCGAAAAGGGCCAACGCTTCACAGGTTCAAATATAAGAACGCAGAGCAGCATCGACGAGTCGAGCGCTTCTATTCCCCACTTATAGAGTTGCCAGCATCTATTGGACACGGATTCTGTGATTATGAGGTGGGGCGCAACCCACCCTGTTCGAACCTCATGGCAAGGGAAAAGGAGACCAGCCAAGCCAGGGCCAAAACCTAACAAAAATGTCACGGGGCCCGTGTGCCGCAATTTCAACGTCATGAGCTTCGAGAGCGCCCCCCGTGGAAGGTGAGCTTTGAAGCACGAAGCTGGCGGCATCTAATCTGGCGCATCGCGATCCCGAACAATCACAGTACTTGCACACAGATTCGTCGCGGCTCTGAGTCATGCACAACTCACTTCGCTCATGTTTACGCGGCGGCTGACTTGCAAGCTCGATCTACATCATGTTGCACTCGGTTTAGTACATGCATCCTCTATACTCACAAGTTTTTAGTTTTTTTCTGCGAACCGAGTTTGGTGCAGGATGTTGCAGGTACCCGCCAGTATCACAAGTCTTTTTTTTTCCAGACGTTCCTCTTTTTTAAGGGTCTGTGTTTAGGGTTAAGGGTTTCAGCAGTAAGGCTTGGGGCCCTGAGGGCCTTGGGCTCCAGGAATCTTAAAGAGCCAGAGCCCGGAGAATCCACAAAGCTAAGCCCGGCCAGTTCCATGCAAAGCCTTATGGAATTTCATTACGAAACGAGGCCCCAACAAATTTTGTGATAGGTAGTCCACGGGCCAGCCCGACGCATTTCAATAAATTTGTTGCGTCACCCTCTATAATACACAGTTTTTCGGATGATTGCTCTTTTCACGGGTTTGTGTCGAGGGTTGCGGGCTTACGCAGAAATGAGGCCCTGAGGGCGGTACCCCTCCCCCCACCCCCCCCCCCTTTGTTTTGGGGGGTCGCCGCGCCAGCGCGTTTATAGAGGGCCCAAATTTGTTGGGGGTGGGGGGGTGTTTAGTAAAGCGAGTGCAACGTTATTTACTACAGTGTTGCGACAGGACGCTTGGCAATTCCCAACTGCAAACAAGCGCTGTATTAACGGTATCTTTTCAACATCGTTGGCAGCGCACCTTGGCACAGGCAGCTGAAGCATTTGGCAGAACAGAACTTCCACCACTGCAGCCTCGAAGTGGGGATGCAAGACCTCAGCAAATCTTATTGACACGGGTCCAGGGACCCGATGCAGTCCATACTTGGTGCGCCACCGGTATTCGCAACAGCTGCTTGCTGCACTCTTCAATGTCACAAGAAAACCTTTGACTTATCCTACACTGGCAACTGCTTTGTGATGGACAAGGTTTTGTCAGATTTGTCCAACCCGGCTCCAGGCATATCCAGTGTGAGCAAGACGTAATCTTCCAAGACCTGGGCACACTAACGGGCGCTAGCCGACTGCATCCTGCACCATCTACGGCACACGTCCTTCGAGGCACGAGCCCATCTATCAGTAGCAGACCTGCCCGAATGCCCCCCCAAAAAAACAACACCAAGTGCCTTGCAGGTACACTTTTGCAAGCACGTCAGGATGGCAACGGCGCGGCCGCATCCATGCGTGATGTGAGAAGTCTTGCTGCCACTAATGGAACCTTCACAAGACGTGGACTCATCATGCAGCGCAGCTGGCCGAAGCGGCACCTGCAGCCGCACTCGGCTTTTCCGGAAATCATCTTGGCCGATGCCCAGCTTGAGGTCGGGCCTGGCAAGATACAATGTTTGATGCCCATGGCTTTTTCTGTCTGGGATGCTCTCTGCATGAACCATGCTGGCTCAGCACGCCAACTACGCGGTCAGAAGCTGGCTGACAACCAGGCACGTGGAGAACAACCTCGGCTTGGTTTTGCTGCATGAATACGCAGGCATGTCTTCTTGCTGCGCCTGTGACGACCAGCCAGTGTCAGAAAGTGATTGCACAGCCTTCTGGATCTCCTGGCGGCAGCGCCACTACCGACCCAGATTCTTTTGAAATGTTGCAATGATGCGTTGGATGTGGCACGCGTACGTGCTCTGAACAGAGTTCGGCAACACCCAGGTGCAAATGTGCACGACAATTTGTGCCAGCATGAATATAAATGCACATGCCATCACGTGCCATGGTGACTCGTGCCCCAAAAATCTCCCCTTCGCCCCTTCTCCCCTTCTCCCCTTCTCCCTTCTTTCTTCCTTCATGTATTTTCTCCTGTTTTATTCAGGGGCACGCAGTAGGTACCTCGTGAGCCCCTTGTACCAGCACTAGGAGGGGCTAGCGGCGCTTGTTGATTTGTTCTATCAGAAGGTGTCGCCGTCTTCTACTTGATGAAGCGAGCCACTTTGTCGAGCTCATCATCGTAGCTCCAGTCGTGCCAGTTGAATTCAGCAGAATCAACGGGATATGCGATTCCAGTTCTCGTGGCAACACTGCCCGTTGTATCTTGTCCGCAAAAGTGTCGTATGCCCAGTGTTCTCTGCAAGTCTTCTGCTACCTGCGACGGACATGAAACGCAACCGTGTTCAATAAGCTAGAACTTGATATTACTATCAAGCCAGCCTGTTTCTAGTAAGGCCTGGCTACATGGACACACCCACGGTGCAACACACGACAATCTGCAATCACTAGATTTACCGGGCCAGGTCGAAACCACTACGCGCATTGCAGAAACAGCAGAAGTACTGGCCTCCAACCTGTCTGGAAGCCCACTGCCTATCATCATTTCCAGCAAGGGTTTCCATCTGGGATCCTCGGTTCCGTCCAAAGAGAGATGTCGCGTCTGAACTCACACCATTGTGCACCAACTGTAGCCCAACTGTAATCAGAGATGCCCACTCGGCTTTGAATGTACTTCGACGCGTCTGCGACCAGACCAGCCACCGTATCCTTGCCCTGCACGTTGCCCGCTCACCACAAACTGAAGTTCCTAATGATGGCACGGCAGCATGGTGACTGCAGTGCTCCTGCTGGTACGCAGATGCGCTCAGGAAAGGAAGCTGTGCCTCATGTCAGCATACCCCGCGAACAGGCAAAATCCGCCAAGCAACAAACTGAAGCTGTAGAGGCGGGCAAGGGCCATAAAACAACCAAAATCACCTGCATTGCCCGCACCGAACAAGAAACGCAAGTGGCAGAACGCATGTCGTGGGGTCAAGGGCAGCCATGCCCAACCTCCCTTGTTTGGCGGCAAGCCGTGAGAGAGGCCCATCACCTGTTGCGAACGGACTGCACAAGAAACATTAAGAAACGAGTTGTAAGCTAAAAATGACTTCGACCCGCTCCACCTGCCTCCTGCAACAAGCCCAACACCGCATCCACGCCTGTCTCCGCACGGGCCCACGCACAAACGAATGCAAGCGCTTAAGTTAGCAGGGCGTACCCACGACACCCGTGCTGGCCAAGGACACAAGGAAGCGCAACAGCAATTGCCTTGACACTGCTGTTTTAAAACATGCTGGACAAAACGCTCTTCAGACCTTGGCCCCGCGCGCGTTCGTTGTCCGACCGCCTTGAATAGCGGCCTGCAAATGATTCATTGCTTGATGCAACCCTTTTTTTCCCTCCCGCCCTGCCGAAGCTGCGAGGTCACATTAGCCAACTCGCCCCCAAAGAAGTACAAAGCAACCCTTTCCTTTGCATTAATCTTGTCATTTTTGTGTTTTTTTCTCACTGCTGCGCGGTCCCAGTGCAGTACGGAAGGTGGGAAAGTTGTTTTTCGGCAAGGTCAACTCCGACAGATCCCCATCAGAGGGCTGCGCGGGCGTGGCTGCGAGCAGGAGTCGGATCCATCATGACCACAGGCGCACAACGATGATTGCAAACCGCCTTTCCCCATTCTCTCTTTTGAGAGGTGCCCACGCTGCGGTCGAAGCCACTTTTTTTGCTCCGTCACTTTTGCACCTGCATGGCTTGGGTTCCTGCTGCATGCCTTGTGCATAATTGCCTACATCACGGCGTTTTAAGGGCCGCGAAGCGGCAAGTGGCTCGGCCCCGTCACATCAGCAAGGTCGAGCACTCGGTCCAGCCATGGGGCCGACAGCTGGCTCGTGTGGAGCGGCGCAGGCCAGGCCAACCCGAGGGCAATGCTTGTGACGCCGACACTGCCAGTATGGCCCACCAACGTCTGGCCCATGCCGACGATGCAGCGCCTCGCATGGCTGGCAGAGCTCGTTCGGCACGGACGCAGACCAAATCCCGGAGCAGCTGCTGCACTTCGGCATTCCAGCGTCCCCTCCCCAACACCACGAGCTGTTGCGGGCCGCCAGCATCGCCAGCATTCAGCTCCGGGTAGGCGGCTCACTTGCGGCGCTCGGTGACGTGCAGGGCAGCTCCGTCGTGCGCAGCTGCGCAGGGCTGGGGCAAGCCTGTGCGCGACAGCGGCGAAACCAGTGTTGCGTCGCAGCAGAAAGCCCCGCCGAGGGGGGTCGCGCCGTAGATGACGAGGTCCAGGCGACGCCGATCGTCGGAGCGCACGTTGGGTGCTGTTGTGTGCGCTAGGCTCAAGCATGCTCAAGCTAAGCTCGAGCTGTTTTGTCGTTGTTGCGCCCTGCCCACGGTGGGGTGAGTAGGTTCGTCGCCCATGGTATGGCCCGCTGCCGCCGTGCTCGGCGACTGCTGCTGGCATGGCTTGTCTGCGGCACAGTCGGCAGTCTCGTTTGCAGCTTCCCTGCCCCCGACCTGCCGGGAGAGTCTGGCGCATGCTGCTATGACTTGCGGCGGAGCTTCGCCCACTTACTTTACGCTTGGCCTCGTGAGGCTAGCGTGGGGCTGGCTGCTAGTCGGAGTGCTCCTGGGCGTGCTGGCGCGCCACGCCGCCGCCACGCTGAGCGGCGGCCCCGAACAAGCCCTGCCACCGGACAGGGCACACGCGCCACTTTGCGTTGGGGAAACAGGGGAAGCGAGGTGCGAATGGCTACAAGCGGTGCAAGAGGTCGCCAGGTGAAGAAGAAATCGTCGCGTTAGCACGCCAGGCGGGGCAGCCGCCGGTGTCCCCTGGGTGTCCCTTTTGTGTCAGCTGTTGCAGATGGCGGATTCGGGATTGTCGCCCCAGCGGCCGCAGCGCGACAACCTGCCGCGCCGAAACCTGCACCAGCGCGGCGTCGCCCGAACACGCGGCGAGTTTCGTGATCCCGACAAGGGGGGCGGGGTCGGGCACATGGTTGGTTTGCACTGCGCATGCTCTTGTTTGCAAGGCTTTTGGCTCTAGCCCGGGACGTGCCCTAGCCACGCATCCAAAGCCGCCATGTCCCGCCATGTCCCGCTTGTGCACCGCTTGTCGTTGCAGGCCGGCGAACGGCGATGCACCGTGCCCGCCATGCTTGGAAGTCCATGAAATACAGCGCTTGGTGCACTCGGGCGCCTTGGGGTATGAAGCTCCCCACCTCCTACACGGCCGTTTCCGTGCACTGCAGGCCATGGCCTACGGGCCGCCCCCGCCTGCGCCCCATACTGACGGCCACTCCCCAGACCGCAGCGCCAGCCGGAGCACCAGCCCTTGCACGCCTCACCGTGAACGTTCCCCTCGCGGGGACCGCGCACCCGGCACAGGTCGTCACCGAGCTGGTGCCAAACATCGGGAAGCCAAGGGCGTCGGCAAGGGCAACAAAGGGAATGGCAAGGGCAAGGCCAGCAAGGCAAGATACAACGCAGGCAAGTGGCCAGGAGACAGGCCTGATGGCCAGCCCACCCGTGCGGACCTTCTGTACCGTGCCTCGGAGCTTCTTCAGGCCTCTGAACAACTTCCAGCCGCGGCCAAAAAACGCTGAGCATGGCAAGGCACTCCTTTGTCGGCACGATCCGGCACCGGCGCATGCAAAGCGCCAGCAGGTGCTTCTCGTGTTGGTTTTTGGATGGTTTCTTGATATGCTGGAAACCGCCGCTATTTGCCGGCGGGCTTTTCGCTTTCGCTTTCGCTTTCGCTTTCGCCCGTTCGGGTCCACGTGAAACATTACAAGCGTCAGACTGTTCCTGCTGCTAGTGGACCACGGTCCTATAAGGACATGGGGAATGGGGGCGTGCTTGAGTGTTGGCACGATTCGGTCTATACATTCTTAAAGCTTTGTACGTACTGGCTTGCAGCGGGCGGCCAATTTGCTGTTTCAGCAATATCAGTCCACGTATTCACCGCGGCGGGCCCTGGACACAAACATTGCTCGGAACGCTGACCAAAAAGGAAGGATCACCCGCACTTGCATGCGCACTTGCCTTCTTGCTTACTGTTCCTTGTTCCGCCGTCTCAAACGCCTATTGGCCGGAGACCTACGGAAGGCTCACCGCAGAGGGAGCAACGTCGCCAGAGGCTGTGTGTCAACCTGCCCTGGGAGGGCATCGTCCACTCGCCGCGCGCTGCACGGCAACAGACAACGCACTCCACCACCGGCGTGCGCACTCCACCACCGGCGTGCCCAGCCTTGGTCGGCAGCCGCTCGAAGGATGGCCAGTGCTCGGCGCGTGTGCAGTCGGATGAGTTGCTTGAGCAGACCTTGGGACTCGTCGTTCCAGCCCCCTCCGCCTTCGGCAGCCAATACGCACAGGCGCTGTGGCCCCCCGAGGGAAAGGTCAGGGTAGCGCGCACGTTTGCGTCGCGCAGCGGCCTCTGTGCGGCACCGTCGCGGTCAGCGGCGCCGCGGGTGGGTTTGCCATCCCGCCCGAGCAGGGGACACGAGCGTCGCGTCATAGCAGAGGGCTTCGCTGCGCTGGGTGGCGCCATAAATGACGCCGTATAGCCATCGCAACTTTCCGAAAAGGGTGAGAAACTCAAAGGAAACTAATCACCGCAGGGGAGCATATTCAAACTTCATCCTCATAAAATGGTATCCAATCGTGATCTCAAAAGGCTCATACCGAAAAACAGAGTCATGCATGTTTGAGGACTCAAGCGCTCTTTTCTTCTTTGATGGCACAGCCACAAGTCGGGACAAACCCATGAGCCCACAGGGCCTCCAAGAACACGCATCACACGAAGACGAGTGAGCGCGTCCCTAGACATCCCGGGCGGGCGGGCGGGAAAAGAATTTTTCAGACCCTGTGCGACTACACTTCCCCTTCCCAAACTTGAGAGGACGGCGGGAGATGCGCTCAGTTCACTTCCAGTGTCTGATAAGCATGCTGAAAAATTCCAAAATACTCACAATCAGAATGTTTACATCTCCATGAGCATCAAGATCACGCACACACAGACCTTTCGAAAAGCGAGCTTCGGCAGCAGCACGAATCCTCAAGCAACCGTCCAGCGGTCAGCGCCTAACTACCAAGTGAAACAAATGTACAGATCGCGATGTACAACGAAACATAACTCAAACTAACAGCATTCAAAATTACACGCTCAGACCGTCCAGCAGGGAACGCTGGGCTTGACACACGGCTGCCACAAAGCTCAAGTGGGCAGACATGAAACTAATGGAGTTGCGCCGGTCATGCGGCGTAAAGAGCAGCTGCAAGAAGGCAGCGTCCGCAAACTGCTCAACTCCATGCACACCTGCCGCTTCACAGCGCCGCAGCCACACATCCCTCCAGGATGCGAAAATCGGGCAAACGCGCGTTGCGTGAAGAAAGCTCCAGTCGTCATCGCCGCATAGGCACAGCAACACATATGAACAAAAGGTCATGTGGCTGTGGCACTGGGCAAACAAGCGGAGCGAAGGCACGTTCGAAGCATTGCACGCCTATAAAGCTTTAGGAGACGAGTCTCCAAAACAGCGTAGGTCATCCGGCCGCATGCGCCCACGGCGGTTGTATCGGCGAGCCACTACAATCGGCAAGGGGAGTCGGGCAGGGCGAGGTGCATCAGATCCGGCGTGAGCTCGGCAGCTGGGTGCGCAGGGATAGCACTAAGCCAAGACCCCGCATGTGGGCCTGACTGGGACCGCCACATGGCTCGGGCGTCAGGGGTCAAAGCCGGCAACATCGTGCGTTCTCGACAGGAGGTGTGAAGTGGAACTGCACTACGTTGCCAGGCCGATTTTTTCAAGACCCGGCTCATTTGCGGGCTCGGGCGGCGGCCGCGCTCTGTCGACACACGCTCGCCAGGCTGGCCTGTCCGACCAGCCCTGGGCGGTAAGGGCGTCTGCCGCGGCCGCTGCTGCAAGCAGGGCGCACCTGCTCGCGCACCGGCCACGAGTTCCTGCAAGCATCGCTCTGCGGCGTCGGGGCGCCACACTGCTGCAACACGGGCAATGCATCCGCCCACGCAGCCCAACAGGCCGCCGGGGCAACGCGCTCTGCAGCGAACAGGCCCAGGCCTCCCAAATGCGCCAGCAAAAACACGATGTCCCGGGCACGCTGGTGACTGGCGACGTCCCTAAGATCGAGGCTCCCAAAAGCTCGAGGAGGGTGCGCCACTCCTCATCGTCGTGTGAGCGCGTAGTCCGCAGCGAGCTCGGGCGGGACGTTTCGCAAGAGGTACTGCGCCCGCGGCGAAGCGCAGAACAGCAGGAGCAACCACGCGCACTGCAAGTCAGGCAGGCGCGGCACAGCCTGCAGGAACTCCCGAGCCTCGCGCAGTGGTTCCCGCGCCTGCGTCCTGACGTATTCGTCGTGCCCAATGGGGACCCTACGCGCCAGGAAGCCACGCTCCGGCGGCGGCTTGTTGCCACGCCGCACTTCCTCTCCAAGCTCATCGACGCAGGGAGGTTCGGGGCCGCCAACGGCATGATGGACCCGCGTCTTGCCGACGTTGGCGGCAACTCCGGCCTCACGCTCGACGACGGCGCCCGCAACAGTGTCACCGCCGCCACGCTCGCTTTGGCGTCGTGACCAGGTACAGGTCGTTGGGGAAGGCGGACAGGGAGTCGCCAGGCTGTAAGGCTGCGCTGGCCGCGAGAAGCGCATTGTGTTGGCCCAGTGCGCAGAACGCAGGGGCCAGCGGGTCACCTGGCTCGACGCCCTCCGATTGGAACACCTGGTGTGCCTCGCCGTTGGCACTTTGCACTTTGCCCGTTCGTGTAGTCTCGCCGTTGGCGTCCCACCATAACAGCTCAGAACGTCGTGCGTACATTGCCTGTGCGAAGGGATGCGAAGGGGAGCAGGGCCGGCGCCACTTCGCGCCACGTGCGATAAGGGACATGGCGCAGGCAGGCCCGGTGATCGCCAAGGAAGTCCAGCCAATGGGCGGACTTTCGGGTTCGCGATGACGTAATATGATTGTTCTGCCCACAAGACCGGATTTCGCCGTCCCGAGCGACTAATTCCGGATCATGCTCCTACGCCGTCTCCGCTTGCCTCTCCCCCTGGCACCAAAGCGATGCCGCTGTGGGGGTGCGTTGGATGAGTATGAAGACCACAGGTCAGCGTGCCTGGAACGCGCTGCGGCACGCGTTTGCCGAGAAGCGGGGGCACGCGTAGCCGCCAGCACTGCGCTACGCGACATGAACGGCGGCGCATAGAGGTTGTCTGCAGATGGCTGTCGACGCCACGCTCGTCAGAGCCGCAGCAGCCGCAGCGGCAGCAGCAGCAGCAGCGGCGGCGGCGGCGGCGGCAGCGGCAGCAGCAGCGGCAGCGGCAGCGGCGGCGGCAGCGGCGGCAGCAGCAGCAGCAGCAGCAGCAGCAGCAGGCAAGCGGCAGGTGCCGCTCGAAGTGGGTGGACGCTTTGGAGCAGAGGCGCTCGGTTTCTTGCGGCGCGCCCCGTTGAGCTCGGGGGCAGCGGGGCGCGCACTCGTCCGCCGCTGGACGGGTCTTGTGTCCCTGGCGGCGCTGCGGGCGCAAAAAGCCACTCTGCTGGAGTTGCCGGCATGGCCCCGTCGACCCCAGCGATGGCGCCGAGGTGCCCATCGGTGACCTGCGGTGAAGACTCCGTAGTTGCCGACCGGGACCCCAGTCGAGCGAGCACACGTAAAACAGGTGTGTGAAAAAATAACAATGTTGTCCAAGAAGACGAAACAAGCCTCTCGGTCAGAAAGAGACTGGTCCGGAAACGACTGCGAGTCACGGTCAGAGTGAAAAGTAGATAGCAATTACGAACGCAAACAAAAGCTCGGTCAAGGAGCTGGTCTTGCACCGCCGCCAATCCAAATGATTTGCCGCAGAAATGCCACGGGTTTGCAACGTACAGCACATACGCATGTGTTCTGCCCATCTCATGCAGCACGAGCAGCAAAAGGCTTTCATCGGATAGCCCACGGCCATGTGCGCAGGGCACGAAGCAAGCTCAGCACACCCACAGAGGCATGCGTGGTTCAAGTTTAGGCCACGGTGACGGGAAGCACAGCCATCCAGGAAAGGATGGTGGCCACACCTGGCCAATGCAATTCCCTGACCACCAAGACCAGCAACCGAGAAGCATGGACGCTTAGCGAAACAGCAAATCAGAATGGCAATGGATGACCAGCGATACTGAGCGACAGGGACAGCGGAGCCTTGAATCACGAAGCGAAAACTACAGGACCTACAACCGACAGCGAGGACAAGTGTCTTATCGGGGCTTATGCCAAAGGAGAAATGCCAACGGGCTCTCCAAACACCAATGGCGTCAAGCTCACGTTGCAGGGCACTCTCCGAGTCGGCCAAAACAAGCAGAATCAAGTAGACCATCAGCGTATACGCGGCGCACGAGGACCACGACCTAGAGGAACACCCCGACAGGCTGCATGAATGGCGGCAGAAATGCCATCAACAAAGATGTTATGTGAATGTGTGCCTAATGCAGAAACTTGCTGCAAGTTACAACCCCAAAGCGGGGTGGCAGGCTTCTATCCAATTCACGGCCACGGAAGTGGCCCCAGGTGACGCAGTGTTTTTGGCCACTTTGGCGAATGCCGACCATGTGCAGGCGCACACGCGGTAACTCTAACAAGGAGACGAGAACGGGATTGTCAGGCACACACGTGCACACTACAAGCCGCTGCTGGGCCATGCCGAGACGACCTACATCGCCACTGGCAGCACGTTCTCGTGGCTAGTCTCGCGCACGTGGGCAACAACTTGCAGCCACACGGACACGGGATGTTCAGGAAGCCACGCGGTGCTACCAGTCCGCGTTGCGCGCCAGGTTGGAACGACCGTCTCCTTCGACGCGCATAGCGTGTGTAGGACTGTACCTTTCGAGCTGTCTATCTCTGCATGTTCTATGCCTCGGAAAACCAATGCTGGAATGAGGGCGTCCGCCACCCCACAAGGGACCCCGCGGCTTTTGGACTACACAGCTTCCGCAGCGTGTTTCATCATGGTTTTTTTCTTCTTTAGCATTGATTCATTCCCAAAACAATCGACTGTGGGGTCCTCAGTCAAATTTGTGGCGGCTTGTGTCTCTGCTTGTCTCCTTTGCCTTCCTTCATTTTTGGACGGGTCTGCCAGCTTCTCTGTGGAAGCTGTGGCTTGTGTCTGGAGTCTCAACTGTTCCCTTTGTCTCCTCCCTGGTGGATGGGTGTGCCGTACTTCCCGTGGTTTTTGTGTCTGTTTATCTCCCTTTTCTCCCGTCATGTTGGATAGGAATACCGAATGTCCCGTGTTGTCTTTCTGTCTGGTGTCTTGCACCGGTGTAGTATTTCCTTTGCGTTCGCCATCACAAAACCTTCATGATAGGTAAGATACTGCTGGGCTCACCAGCAACTGCAAGAGGATTTGGGAACCCTCATTCTGTAGAACAAACGCAGTTGTGACCAAGTCCAGGTTATGGCGTAATAACGACCTCGTATGTTGTGAAACCTTGTGAATTTTTGCCCCAGTCGATTTTTATCGTTGTCACCACACGCCGCATCTACACAGCAAAGCTGCCAATCCAAGTCGCACACGCGCAAATCGTCCAAAGCACCCAACACCACACCGGTCGCCCATTGTGGATGTTTGTCGGCCTTGTCACAAACATCTACGCAAGGGCAAGTGATGCAACGAAAGCTTGCGATGCAAGGCCAGCAATCTTTGGTCTGGCACCATCTTCGACAACCATGCTGCATAGATTCCAGACCTTGAATGGACTTGTCTGGCAAGCTCAGAAAAATATAGCACATAGTCACATAGCAGCATGATGTATTGATGTCGATTTTGCTCGAGCTGATCATTCAAGGTCTTATGTGCCTTTTGTACCTGTGTGCCTTTGTGCATGTCCAGCTGTCCCAAGATCTCTTAACGCAGCCATCACGACCATAAGAACCACCACGGCTAAGTCAGCGGCTTGACCGGCAAACCTTGTGCACTGACTTGTACAAAAACGAAAGCGCACTCAAGCACACAAACCTGAGCTGGCTGACATTTCGCACAATCCAGTACACTTCGTTGAATCAGCGCTCCATGCAGCTCAATATCATCCTTGATAAACCCGGGCGAGGCTTGACGAGCCCTTCAAACGCTGCTTTCCCCCAACATGTCCTCCAGAGCTGCGGCCAAACCCCGGATTTGTGAGACAACCTGCAACCAAACAGAGGATTTCGGTAACAACGAACATTTCAAATCAACAAGCAAGAATGACCTTCTCATGCATGGTCTAGCTTGCCTTTTTGTTCTCGTCACCTAAAGTTATAATGAGTTTGCGAATCCTTTCTTTCTCGGCCTGCCCGCACAACACTAACAAGCGCAAGCTTTCTGAGACGTAGGGGTACCTTTTGCTTTTTTGCCACCGAATCGACCTGTCAGACAAAATGGGCTCTGAAATTAGTCTGCGACAATGACCCGTGACAATCCTCGACCGTGGCCTCCAGTTCTTCTGACGTTTTCTTGGCTTTGTTTGGGTTTGCGGCGCGGCTCATGGCAATTCATCTACGGAATCTGCGCGTCCCACGGCCCTCAATGAGGCTGCTTCAGCATGCACTACAGGCTGGCAATGAAACCCTTTTTGTGCCACTGCAAAACGAGCCTTTCAATTTCTACAACCTCATGTCTCTGTGTATAATGCTGATGGCCACCATGGCTTGCCCGGGAGAAAGTTGAAACCACAACACGGGATGCCTCATCTGTGTATGCGTGCAACAAATGCCAAGTGCTGGTTTATTTGCCAATGCAAGAACTTGCATTGCACGCACGCCCCCAGTAGTTCACTTGCCCAACCATGCCGACACAAAACCGACCAACATTCCAGAAAAATGGCTGACCATCACAACACACAGTCGAAAAAAAAAAACAAATGTGTATATACCAGTTTTGCAAGCGTGGGAGCCCACACCAAAGGTTGTGCTTCTCCTCATTGCCAATCATGACGTTTTCTAGATGGTCTGAATCTAAGGTGACATCGGGTGAGTCTAACTCGCTAATCGCAGGCGCCCATGCCGCCGCGCTCTCACAGCAGTTGCCCTCACATGTTTGGGCTGCATGTTGTTACCGGAAACTTATGCCTGTTTGGTTCATGCTTAGCACCGCCGAACACCGACCATGCACAACTCAACGCACATGTGCAAGGAAACCCACTGTCGTAGCATTTTATACATATGTTCCTGCCTATGATCTACCTGCGGCGTTTGGCACACGTGGCGGCAATTTTCTCGAACCGGCTCGACAAGAAACAATCAATCTGAGAACTACTGTATCCTGCATACATTGCGGGTTTGTTTCAGGCAGCTCACAAGTCAAACTCGAGCTGTCTCGAAATACCCGAAGTTCTGGAAACTTTGGCCTTCCAGCTCTGTATCCATCATAGATTTCGATCAACCCAAAAGTTTGGTACACATTTGACTTGCGACCCGACTGTAAAACATTGCTGCTCAACCCACTTCATGCTGGACTCTGTTTGGGTTGGGCATACTTCCAGCAGCCAAAAGCGCCGCTTACCAAAGATCAAAACAGCACGAGCCAGGACTCAACTGCTCAAAGACCGAGCTAGGAACCTCGCAAACTGCCGTAGATAAGAAAACCATAGAGAATCGGGAGCCATAGGATACAAAGGAGCCAACACCTACTTCTGAGGGTGGCGCCAAGGCTAAATCGACGCAACAACCCTCAAACCACTCTTGGAGTGAAGGAGGCCTTCATCGACACAAATTGCCAGCTTTCACTGACGGAGCAGCCAGCTGCAACAAATGGAGCCCAATCGATTGTGAGTGTGGGGCTCGGGGACTCTATGAAACCTCCAAAATTATAGAGAAACCTGAAACTGCCTGGAACCTGCCCCCTCGTTCCCTTGGCATTCCTGGAATGAACCTGAAAAAAGCCTGACAAAAACCTGCCTTCATATTTCACCGACTCCAAGCAAGCTGAAAAAGGAACCTGAAACAAAACTGCCTTCACCATTTCGCAATTTTCAGAAAAGCTGAAAGAATCCTGAAAAAAGGCTGCCTCCACCATTTGGTTCAGGTTTGTTCAGGCTTTTCAGGTTTTTCAAGGAATTTTCTGGTTTATTCGGTTTTTTCCAGGGTTTTGTCAGGTTTTTTCATGGTTTTTCAGATCTTTTCTGGTGTTTGTCAGGCGTTGTCAGGTTGTTTTCAGGTTATCTTCAGTTTTGTTTCAGGTTGTTTTCAGGTTTTTCAAGCTTGTTTCGAAATGTGTCTAAGGTTGGGGATTTCGCTTTAAGGTGGGCTGTGGGGGTCAAGCTTTTTCAGGTTTTTTTCAGGCTGTTAATTTGCTTTGCTTTCATAGAGTCTCCAAGGCAGCACACTCACAACCAATCGCTGCCATGTTCAGCCATACCAGCTGCAGTGCCAACAACCAAAGACAAAAAATCGCAGACCAACCTGAGGCCTGACGTGTTGGAGATGGCGTAAGGTTCGGAGAACCTCAGAAACGGGGCCACCGAGGAAGCCATCATCAGCAAACGTTGGCGGCAGGGGGTGGTGTCAGGGGTGGCAAAGTCACAGTACAGCCCAGAGGCGGACCTCGTGTACCTTACGCTGTACGACAGCGTGGCAAGCCGGCAATGAAAAGCATCCTTGAGTGAGTGAGTGAGTGCGTGAGTGAGCGAGCGAGCGAGTGAGTGTCGACCAGTATCTACGGCGCGGCTCCGCAAGCGTCATCCGTCCCAGAGTTCAAGTGGGGGATAAAGCTTGTAGAGTAGCAAGGGAGCGAACCGCGCGGCCAGTGCCGAGGGAGCGAAGCTCCATGCACAAAGGGCACACACAAAGCGACCCGAAGGGGCGCGCCATGTGCCGAGGGAACACTGTTCCAGCATCGAGGTCGAACACGCCACCAACCAGGTACAGGAAAGGAGCACACATGACGGGCCCCTCAAATTGAACATCATAGAAACTGCGCATACACTGCATGGCAACGTGCACGTGCTGTCTCTGGCATTGTTACGAGTAAATGCTGGATTGCACGGGTCACAACTTGATGTGTACCCGTATAACGCGACCCTTGATGAGGGAATCTCCTGTGCAAATGAATGTGAAGTACAGCACGCCTGCACTCAACAGCAATCAAAGTTGCCAGAAAGCAACACAATCCACTCACGATTTGAGCCTTTGAGAGTGCGGGGCGCTGTTTGTCCACATGACGCAGGCACATCGGCGCATGCAACAATGGCCGTACCGATTGTGGTTGGGGAGCGGCGTACTGTTGGGAGGTCCTTGCCGTCCACCGGCTCTGGATGCGAGGACGCGGCCGGGATAGAAGACTTTGGGATATGCCCGGGCACTTTTTTTGACAAGAATGTATGCCGATCAACGCGTTACTCTCGTTGAAGGTGAGGACCTCTACAGGGCTCCGGCGGCGTCCTTGACAAAGCCGCTCTCTAGCATGGGCAGGACTCCGCCCTGGTTCGAGGTTCAGAACCACCGTGCTACCCTAGCACGTGAGCAAACAGGGTTTAGGCTGCTTTGTTTTCACATCTTCCGGGAGCTCCATTGGCTTCGTTCCAACCACCACTTCCTCATTAATTGATCTGGCTCAGGAACTTGGCTGTCATCAGGGGGATCGGGCTCGTTCTATAAACTAGTTGCGCTTGCTAGCGGTATAGCCGGAGGCATCACAAACTTTTTCTCAGGAGTGCCGGAAATCCTCACACACGTCCACTCGAGGAAACAGCACCACGATGCACAAAAGGTTGATGGGTGGAATCAGGTTACCCCAAACCAAACTACCCAGCAACCTCGCAACCGAAAAACCCCAAACTTATGCAAGGTTGTTTGGCACTCCTCTACTCCGCACAGACCAAGAGAGGCGCGCCCCCTCGGGGAACATGGAAATCGTTGGACGAGGCAACCAAAGGGCCTCAAGTGACAGCCACACTCTGTCTTTCTCAAGGCAGTCTGAGGGAACTTCATTTGGCCGGACGAGACAAGGCATCAGCTTTAACATTGCGTTCCCCGAAAATGTGTGAAACATCCAGCATGGTTCTATGTAGCTGCCAGTAAGGTCCAGAAAAAAGCAGAGGGGCCGAGAGGTAGAGAAGGAAGCGTTCACGCCTGCTTCTGCACCTGTGTTGTCTGATGCGGAACGGCAAAGGGACTCGCGCGCAAGGTAAAAGAGAAGATGTTGCCAAGATCAGCGCTCCTGGGCGAGCGCTTCATAGCAAGCAATATCAAGCTGCATGTCTGCTTGCACAGGAATCTCAAGGGCACGGAAGGCACTGTAGGGGAAACTTTCACGGAACCAACGCTGGCCGATCGCAGGCTGATAGAAGTGTGCTGTGAAGCAGATTGCTGTACGCAGAATGGATTTGAACTGAAGTGTGTCTGTAAGATGGTGACAAAGCTGTGGCCAGACATCTGGGGCCACCGAGTTCGTAGCAGCCGGACTGAAAAGATCACGGTAGAAAGTTTTTTACATCGATTTTATGGTAGAGAAAAGGTGTGCAGCCCACAAAGCAAGCCTGACAAATCTTTCCAAATCCTTTCTTGAAGTTTTTAGACTGCTTGAAGGTCTTGACCCAAAAGTTTAAGCCTTTTTTCCTTCTCAAGGGACACAACACCTGAGGTGTCGAAAAAACACCACCATATCCAATGAACCCGAGGCTAACTTGAAGCTTCTGCCATCTCAACGTACCCCCAGCACCTGGAGGGAAAGACAGATCATTGCCTCTGTTGCTAAATGGCTGAACCAAATCAAGACATGCAACAAGTGAAGCAGGCAGAAGCCTAACCGATTGTGTGTGAGCACTCTTGACGTCAAGAAATATGGCTGCTTGCCGAGCGGGTGCTCCACAGTGGAAAACAATGCACAAACTGAATTATCTAAGACCAACCTTTTCGAACGATTTGGCGCCGGGACTACCAGTTCCCAATCGCCAATGTACCAGGCCACTTGACCTTGGCTGCTTCAATGTTGCCATTGAATTTGAGAAGCCTTTGATCAAGCCTTTCTGCAGCAAGGTCCAAGTGACTAAAGGTTCAACCGATGCCGAACGCCAATTCTGCATGTGAATGGAAAGCGGCGTGAAAAAACGAAGGTCCCTCTGGTACCTTTTCCCTTGAAAGCACGAACCCTGACCTCTCACACAAGTGCGGACAGCTCTCTCTTTTTCACAGTCAGAGCCACTTGAGCCAAAAGTCACGAAGTGCACAAACTAAACGAATTCTCTCTTGTGAGCTTAAACTCAGCTTCAGAACGAAGTTCCTACACACTGCACACTCACTTTAAATAGCGTATTGGGCAAAAACACACTCGTATGATTTCCTTGGAAATCAACGAGGCATAAACCATCGAGGATGGGATCACACGGATTCCCAATCACTCCGAAGCAAAACAAACCTATACAAGCTGATCCAAAACATGACAAAAACATCAATGATCAGCCACAATCTTCCACCCCCCGCATTTTGCTGAGGGTTCATGTCAAAGATCTGAAGTCCAAGCCCAGCTCGGCACTTCAACACTAAGGGGA